CTTAAATCCCATTGCACAGAGGTGAAACACAACTGCTAACAATACCCGAGGGAATATAAGGTAGTACAGAGATGTTAAATAGTTGTGGTGCCATAGTTAGATCAGATGGCCACTAGGTACTTGCCTGGCAGAACTCTCCGTTTACTTTTTCGGTAGTTCACTTTCACAGATGAGTGGGTTTATTATTCCAGTACATTCAGCTTGTGTGTATTGAAAAATTAACTGAGGTAAATTTCTATAATTATTGCTATGTAATCCTATACTCCTTATGATTTCTGTACTTTAGGGATCAGGATGCTTTTCTTTGCTTTTTTGGGTTTTTACCAACAAAAGCATTTTGCTTAACCCTTTTGGTAACATATAGATCAGTTTCTGTAATTTGATTTCATTTGCCATAACAGAACCCTATAAAAAGATCTGTAACCAAACTCCTTACTATTCCACAACTCTAGAATATTCTAGAGAACCTTGTGTGTTGCAGAAATAAATTGAGGATTTTTAGTGCTTGCTTAAAATGAGAATGAGAAAATGTTTTTAATATTTTCCATAAAATCAAATAAAAATAGATAATTGCTTCCTTATACCCAAGGATTGCAAATAGTATCAGGTGACATGGAAAAGTCTTGTATCACATCAGTAGGTTTGACTAATTGTAGACTGAATTTTATTTATTTATGGGGTGGGGTAGGGAGAGGCAGAGTCTTGCTGTATTCCAGGCTGGCCTCAAACTCACTGTGTAGCCTAGGCTAATTTTGTCTTTTTTTTTTTTTGGTACCAGGGATCGAACTCTGGACCTTGCTCTTGTGAGGCAGGTAGTGGAACCACTGAGCTAAATCCCCAGCCCGCCTAGGCTAATTTTGAACTTGCGATCTCCCTATCTTAGCCTCCTAGCATGCTGGGATTATAGGTATGTGCCACTGTGCCTGGTTTAGACTGAATTTTAGAATGACTTACATCAAGGCTATAGATTTCGACTGCACACTGATGCATTTTCTTTCAAGTTACACAGAACTTAAAACTATAATAGTTTTTGCTTTCTTGTTCTGATGATTATCTGAATGTTACTTTTATGTTGTAAGAGTTCAAAAAGCCACTGCAAAAATATTCCTTTGGGGGCCTAGAGGTGTAGCTCAATGGTAGAGCACATGCTTAGCATGCAAGAGGCCCTGGATTCAATTCCCCAGCAGTCATCCTAAACCATCTTTTGTTTTGGTAGAATGGGGATGATGTTCCCAAAAGTTTAGTGATGAGCTAAAGATTTTGGATTAGATTTGATGAATAGAACTTAAAAGAAAAGGGGTTTTGGTATATTAATACCTAGATACTTGTATTCACAGAGTTAGAAATCAAAATGAATGCATCTCATCATTTAGAATGTCAGTGTATTTGGCAATTATAGATTTGTTTCGATGAAAGTTGTTCTTATGTACACAGAAGTGCTTTTCTGCCTACAGTTTTAAATTACTATTAATTAAGCACTATGTGATATAATAGATAATTACAGTGTTTTAATATGGACGCTAGTGGATTTGCTAGTCTTTCTAAATGGCTATTGTTGCCTAATAGTCTTCAGGGGATCATTCATATAGCCATTGTGGTTCTAAAAATATCTGTAAATACCAATGGGATAGCCTATTTTGAACCATGGCTATTATAGAATGAACTTGTATTTGAAGTGCATCAGTCTGATTATAGATTTTTTTATTCATATCACTCAGTTGCTTTCAGAATATTTATAGCAAAAAAAAAATACCCATGCTGAAAAAAGAATAAAGGAACAAGATGGTTGTTAAAAAGAAAAGATTGGAATTAGGGGTATTGGGAATCTTTTCTATTCATTAGGATTTTTAACTATTTTACTCATTATGATTTTAACTGGAGATGTTCTCATTTAGCCTTGTCATTTTTATTTTAATTAATATTTCTATGGCAGAGAGATAATTAGGTAAATGCTGTTGAATATTAAATATGGTAGTAGCTTAGGAGAAAATAAGCATTTCTGGGTCACAGCCCTTATCAAAATATTGTGGTATGTGAGCTGATTAATTAAATTGAATGCCAAATGAGTTTGCCATCACCCATCATCAGACTATTGCAGTCATCCCGTTCATTATCTAAGGTTGTTCTGGCACAGAATGACTGGCTATGTCAAAGTTAATGGTTTTTTCTAAGTCCTGCTACTAATGGAGTAAATCTTGATTAGAGAATAGTCCCAACCTCATTCAGTGCAGCTAAGTGTAAGAACACACAAGAGTGTGAACCCAGGCGTCACATCAAGCATTTAAATGCCCGGTGTGTGAAGTTCTCAGTGTTGTCACCAGGGGCTTCTATATATTGGTGGCTCCTACCTATAAGATCACATTGAAGACTCTAAAATATATTCTAGGCTACTGTGTTGTCTGTCCTTGCTGCTTTTATCTAAAATTGTATTACATGCACGCACACACACACACACACACACACACACACACAAAAGACTCAGCTCAAATTCTAACTGGACCAGAGAAGTTGAGACAACCACATATAGCATAGCAAAAATTTACCATTTATGAATGGTTTAATAGAAATTCAAAGTGATAGTTTTTAAACTGTACTTCCAAAATATCCTCGGGTATCAGGATTATGTAAATGGTCAATTTTAATTTCATCTATTTAATAATTGTACTGAAAGTCACTCCATCAGTTTTTCATTGTGATGGCCAGTCATTAACTTCAGCTACCAAGTTAACTAGTTTGGGGGCAGGTCTTAGAATAAAGCTTCTTCTGCCTTTTTGTGCATTTACTTGAAATTTTGCAAACCGACTAGTAGGGGCCTCCTGGCTTTTCTATGAATGCAGACAGTGCAGTGCCTGATTAGGCTCACCACCAATAGCTTTCTTCTACAAGGCCTAATTAATGCCCACCTCCCTACACCCCTATTCCCTCCCCCACCCCACAGCCTACAAAGCCCAGGTACACTGTTTGGAGATTTGCTTTTGCCATGGAGCAATAATAAGTTAGATCTGTGATTGCTGGTATATTGCAATGTAATACAACATTCTAAGTTTAGGTTGAATTTTTTTATTTGAAGTGCCCTTTGTCAAATTTATTATCTTGAAAAAGGACACTGTTAAAAATATCTGAAAAAAATTGTCATACTCTTCATCAACACCTCCAGCTCATTTTTTTTTTTTGGTACCGGGGATCGAACTCGGGTCTTTGCGCTTGCGCAGCAGGCGGCAAAACCACTGAGCTAAATCCCAGGCTAGCTTATTTTAATTAATGGCATCTTGAAATTTAAAAGGAAGCTTTCTATTAAGATTATTGTTTACAATCACTTACCTAATGTAGATGAAAATTATCTCAATGTTCTGTAGCCAAACATAGAAATAAAAACATTGCAGCTGATATTACTACAGGTGTCATCCACAACTTCTTACATAAGAGTTTTGTATCTATAAATGTAGTCTTGCTGTTTGCATCAATTACAATAAATTTAACGGTTTTTCTAAAAATTCTGGAAATTTTCTTTCATCCAGTTTTTAACAGAGAACTGTAGAGCTCTGAACGAGGTGATTATTTATACTGACACATTTATAAAGTATATTTTTTTCCAGTACTAGGGATTGAACTCAGGACCTTGCACTTGTGAGGCAGGTGCCGCATCACTGACTGAGCTAAATCCCTGGCCCTTATAAAGTGTAGATCTTGGAGAACACAAATGCTATTGAGTATATATATCAGCTCTCAGACTGCTGTAACAAAATACTATGGACTGAATGGTGTGTAAACAGCAAACATTTATTTCTCATTCTGGAGGCTAGGAAGTCTAAGCGGCTGACACAGTCAATGTCTATGAGGACTACATTCTAGTTCACTGCCCACAGTCCTTTCATTGTGTCCTCTCATGGTAGATATAGGAAGCAACCACTCTCAGGACTCTTATATGGACACTAAGCCCACTCATGAGGGATCCACCTCATCACCTTATGTAATCCTAATTAACTCCCAAACATTCCACCTCCTATCACATTAGAGAGTAAAGTTTCAATTTACAAAGTTGAGGAAGGCATAAGTATTCAGTCTATAATAGCGTATAATCACATTATCTCTATAATTTGTTACTATTGCATAAAACTAAAAATTTGATCAGAATGTAAAAGATAGGGAAATTAAATCATTTCATAAAATTCATTTTAGGGAGACTAGACAGAGCCAGGTATTTAAAAATCACTACTTTGAATCCTGCATATAATCCAACCATTTTGGAAGTTATGCTGGAGTTCATAGCTTGCCTGTTTAGCAGCTCAATATTACATGTGAAAGTAAGCTGGACTTTTTCAAGAACATGCAAGGCAAAGAGGTGACCTTTTTTTGTTAGTAGGAAAATTGAATTAGGGAGAAATGTGCTGTACTGTGCTGTATCTGATTCTCAACTGTAACTGGAGTCAGCTCAGTATCTCTTCATGATAGCAAGAAAATCATGAATCACTTTCCCAGCTTCTTATAGATGCATTTGAGCAAGGAAGGTAAGTGGCCTTGGGGCTTGATGTGTGTCTTCTGGATTTTATTACCCCTAGATGTAAATAAATGGATTTGGAAAGCTTTAATTTATTAGAACATGAAGGCTTCATTCCCAATAGGACTGGAGCATATACCTCAGAAGTCCTATAAAATTTATTTTTCAAAAACACACTGTTTATCCATTGGTTTTTCAAAACATGTTTACCTGCAAATATAAATGATGTTTTAGGAGGGAAATAAAAGATAGAGTTGCATTTTTAAAGAGCCTTACAAGAAAAAAAAAGTTCAATGCTTGAGGCATTTTATGTAAAGAATTTTCCAAGTCTTTAATAAATAATATATTTTCTCACCAAAATCCTCCTTTCCTAACCCTTCCTACTACAGTAGTTCCATCATTTCTCATGTTTGTGCCATGCACACTGTTCAGTAATGTGGACTAGTAACTCCCTTCCTTTTCATCTTTTTGCTTACCTTGTGTTTGTTTTCTTTCTTTGCAGAGACCCTCCTCGATGATTTCCTTCTCACGTACACTGTCTTCATGACGACTGATGACTTGTGCCAAGCACTCTTAAGGCAATATCCTTCATTAACTTCGGGATGCTATGTTGGCTTCCTCTCAGACAGATGTCTCACATTAGGAATTAACTGCCTTTCTTAATTTACTTAACTCCACAGTAGCGTGTGGATGTGTTGAATATTAATGTAATGATAGCCATGGTAAAAGATGAAATGAGGGGCCGGGGATTTAGCTCAGTGGTTTCGCCGCCTGCTGTGCAAGCGCAAGGACCTGAGTTCAATCCCCGGTACCAAAAAAAAAAAAAAAAGATGAAATGAGACAGAATGGACAGGGAGAAATGGAAATACAGCACTACTATTTTCATGTTGTAAGATGTAGATAAATTGAACCATTTATATTTGCTTCAAATATGTTTCTTATGATTGTTTAGAAATCTGGAGGTAAAATTGGCCTTCTGGTAAACCTCAAAGTCAGGAGGTTGAGTGGATTGGCACTATCACACAAGTGGCTTCAGAGAATTGGAGTCAGACCACTTGTGCACAAAAACATGTGTGCATATGTGATGTCACGTTCCTAGGCAAGTGACCCTGGGGACACAAGCTATTCCCCCACATAAGAAGTCTAAACTTGCCCCTGGAACTATCTGTCATCTTTTCAGAGCTTTATCTTCACATGTTCTCTTAGAACGATGGATGTGATTACAAGGTTACTGACCAGTTAGGAAAACCTTATAATTTTACCCACTAACTAGAAGAAATGCCAACTGGAAACATTGAAAGGTCACAGAGCAAAGCCGTATCACTTACTGAAAGTCTCCATCCAAATGGGCCTGTTGCCTCATAGTGCTTAAAGATATGCTTTAATATCATTTATGTATTTAATTAACTTAGATTTAATTGATAATTTTATTAATGGTAAAATTAAATTAATTAAAAATTTAAGCATTTAGTAAAACATTCATGTTTTTATAAATCAAACTGGAGATTCCATTCCAACTTGCATAAAAATGTTTAAATAAATGGATTTTTTGTGTATGCCAAAGTTTTATTAAGACCTAATGACAATAGTCATTCAATATAATTTTCCTATTAAATAATCACTACATGTCTCCCAACTTTATAGAATTTTTCTGCCTAAAAGAATACTTTAAAACTCCATGAAATACATAAAGTAAATCTGTCTTGAAAAATATATAAACTAGAAATGGTGATTGCATTTATATATCCTATGACCAAGCAAAGTTACAGATATTTTGGCACACTGATCTTGAAACATTATTAGTTTTACATTTGGAAAATTTCAATAATATGTGCAGATTTCTTCTATAGTTTTCAAGTGGAGTGTTGTTAAGAAATTTAGGAAAAATTAAAAAGGTTTTGAATTTTTCCTTCTTCAAAGTGTTTGGGAAAAATATCTGTGAGCTAATGTCACCTACATTTTAATGCTAACATATCCATTAATATAGTGTTTTTATAGCCTTCAAACTATTACTTTTAACTATGATATTAATATGAATTATCATTTAAAATTTAATGTCTCAGAGGATGTTCCTAAAGAATCTTTCAGAGTTTTCTTGGATATAAATATGAGTCCTTGAATATGAAATTTAATTTGAAAATTTAGTTCAAAATTAGCAACCTTTTCACTGATTACTAAAAATCCAAGACAGTTCAAACTATGAGTTTTTCTACATGATTATTTCATTATATTTGCACACTCTGCTCTCTGTGAAATCATACAAACCATCAACTTTTGAAAGCTGTATTATTGTGAGATATTTCTGTGCACATCTCAGTGATGATTTCTTTCATATCCCACTATTGTTTTTCCTGATGATTTTTAAATATTATTTATAGATTAGCACCATTTGTGCTGGGTTTAGATATTTTCGATGAGTATTTCTTATTGCAGTAGAATTTAAAAGCTTTCAGCTTTTATCATCATAAAGCACATTATTTAAGTTCATCGCCCTGGGCCAGCTAATGTTTAGTGCATTACACAGAAGTTGTAGCTCTCCCAGTGCCATTCCAGTATCCCTACCCCCAGTTAAATGTATAAATCAGTATAGTTTTGCATGGACAAAATGTAAATGAATCTAATATAGGAAAGCAGAATAATACAAATGCACATTTAATCAATAAATATTTTAAAATATGTATCTTGGAGAGAGGAAAGAACAAGGTTAAGCAAATAAATGTTAGTAACTATGAATACAAAGAAAGGTTCTGTGAAGCTGCTTTATTCTGCTGGCCTATAATTTGTGTGTGTGTGTGTGTGTGTGTATATATATATATTCTGAATAAAAAGCCTATATCTTAATTACATATACTTACCTTTTAAAAAAAAGAAGTTGTTGGTATTTCTTGTTTTCTGTTTTTTCTTTGTATTAATGCAGCCATTATGTTTAGAGGAAGAAAAGGAAAAAATATTTACATAAATAGAACTAATTTGGATAATTAATGCCCAGTTAACTTTTCCATGTGTCCAAGGTGCTCAGAAATTATCATTTTGGAGAGAAAAAGGTCAGTTTAGCTCCTGTCTCATTCCTAGTCATTTAAGCACTTTGCCTTCAGTGTTATTCTTGTTTAATTTTAATAGCACAGTTAATAAATATTCATTATATACAAATTAGTAAATTCTAATAAGTAAAATAATTCATATATTTTCAAATCTCATTACATTGAAAAGCCACTGTTAACCGTCTCTATATTCTTCCAGATAATTTTATTATTCACATAAGCATTGTTAACAGAAATAGAGAATTCTAACTCATTCTTTTTTTACTTGCTTTTCTGTTCAGCAATAGTTTGTGAATGTTCCATGCCAGTATATGTACTGTAGACAGTTATTTTTATGGCTATGCAAGAGTCCACTAAATGGATATGTAATAATTTAATTAACTTACCTCACTTGTTGAAGCATTTAGATTCTTTCCTATTTTATTTTTTAAATTCAATTTTAATGAAAATGAAAATTAGTAGTTCTTTTATGTGTTTGCACATTTACTCAATTCTTTTTTTCAAGTAAATTCCTAGGAATGGAGATTTTAATCATATCACAAATTATGCTCCAGAAATCTGTGCTCATTTAGAACTACTTTAGAAGTAACTGGTTTTACAAAATGTCAATCTCTGATAATCAAAGAATATTTGGCCTCCTTCTGATCTATACAACTATGAATAGTATTCACCTATGTCAGGAGGCCAGATCTTCTCTAGAAGCTACCCTTGAATCCAATGGGCCACCCAGGACCTCTTTGAACTGACATTAATGTCACGCTGCCTGTGGGACTTTGTCAGCAGCTGCCAGTGTGATGGTCCAGCCCTTAACTCCATGGCCTCCAGCTGAGGATACTTCAGTCATTTTGTCAGTTTGCTTTTGTTCTTTTCAGCACCCACCTTTTGCTCTCACTGTGTTACGTTCTCTTCTTCCTTTGTGGAAAATATGCTTTAGCCTATTTTGTAAAAACTAGAATAAATGGATCTCTTTGTATTTTTCATTTTCAACAATGAAATGTTCTTTCTTAACCATTTGCACCTATTCTGCTAAAAAGTATCAAGGCAAAGAAGAAAATTCAGATGTTCCTTGTAGGAAACGTAAAGTTTTGCATCTGGTTTCCCAATGGATTGCTCTATACAAAGACTGGCTACATGAGGATGAACATTCAAAAATGTTTTTAAAGGTAATCTAAGGTTTCCAGATAGTCTTTGATACCAAGTGACTGGCTTTATTTTCAGTTACACATTTCAAAAATCTCATTTGTAGATAATAGTCACTCAACTTTTTTTGATAGTCAGATTGTGATTTGTAGATAGTATGAATATATTTTTATTTCTGAGGCCTGATAGTCCCTACATATTTAAAATTTACTTTCCCCTACATAGGAAGCTTTCTAAAATTTTAAATGTTTTATTATGAAAAAATACAGAAGGAAATTTTTATGCTTACTAATTTTAAGTCAAAAGAATTTTGATTGCAAATTAAATAAGGAAAGTAAACAAAAAATATACTTCAAAAAACATACTTCAGATTCTGATCTATTTAACATACTGAAATTTATTATAACTTTAACCGGTCCTATATACATATACAATATTTGTATAAAGCATTATCATGTGAAAATTACATTGACAAGCCAGGTATGGTGGCACACTCCTGTAATCCTAGCACACTGGAAGCCCAAAGCAGGAGGATTATGAGTGTGAGCCCACCTTGGATAATTTAAGGACTTAACAAGACCCTGTCTCCAAAAAGTGGTAGGGGTGAAGGCTGAGGATGTAGCTCATGTGAAGGCCCTAGGTTCAACAGTACAACAATAACAAAAAAAAGAAAAAGAAAATTACATTGACCACGTATAATATATAACTTAAGAATATGATATATTTTGAGAATTTTAGGCAATGATGATTTGTTAAAAAAGAACTTAGATTTACATTTTGAATTAAATGGATTCATTTTTCTAATTATTAATAGGCTGCAGTATCTTTTTAACCCAGACAATTTTCTTTGTAAGCAGAAGTCCTTTGACTCCCAAAACCATATTAAGTGTACAGATTAACATAAAGGCTAGAATGGAATTCTAGCAAAGAAGACATCTATTTTTGAACAGGCAGGTGTCTGAACTGCTTCTGTCTTTCATGAAGGAAATTACTTTGAACATCTAATTAAAAACTGGTTTAACCAGCATTTTGTTTGAATCCATGTTATTTTCAAAACAGATGATTGATATTTTTTCTTTCCAATTGATCATGTGGATGCTATTTTTTAAGATATAAAGTAGGCATAGAGTAGGCAATAGCATCTCTGTTTTCAGCATTCCCTAGCTAAAGCACCTTAAGCAGTTTGTTGGGTAGCTAAGATTCAACCCATACATTGTCTTGGATTCCACCATATTTTGTTGAGCAGAATAACGGATATCTGAGTCTTTTTTTTTTTTGGTAGTGGTTCTGAGAATTGAGCCCAAGGCTCCGTACATGCTAAGCACCTGCTGTACCAAGAACTACATCCCCGTCGCTGTATTAATCTTAATCCTTACAAAATGGACATCAAACTATTTCAGCTGCCATTTGTTTTTTTCCAGACCATATATAGGAATGTCCTGGATGATGTCTATGAATATCCAATACTTGAAAAAGAGCTAAAAGAATTTCAAAAGATACTTGGAATGCATCGTCGTCAGTAAGTATTCAATTTTTTTTACTGGACTATCATACATAAAGTTAATTTTGAACATTTTGGTTTTTTTTTTACTGTTTGGTTGGTTAGATTTTTCTTGTTTTTGTTTTTTGTTTTTTCTTTCTTTTTTTTTTGCAGTACTTGGGACTGAACCCAGAGCCTTTTCACAGAGGTACATACCTAGTCCTTTTTATTTTTTGAGACAGGATGTCACTAGGGCTGGGCTCAAACTTGCAATCCTCCTGCTTCAGCCTCCCAGAGTGCTGCAGTTGCAGGCTTGCACCACTACGGTAGACTCAGTTGTTTTGACCATTTTGACTTGAAATTCATCTGGCTTCCTTGGCTTATCTAGTAGTAAATTGTGTATTTTTATATCTCAAAATGAAAGAACACTAAATCCAACTTACTGACTTTTTTTAAGAGCTCTGTTTCAGATGGTTAAATAAACAAACTGGCTGTAACTAGCTGGGTGTATAAAAACAATTATTTAACAGATTATTATTTAAGTCTACTTTGGGGCTTATAGCTTTATGGAACAGGAAAAAAAGTTTAATGAATAAATCCCAGTAAGTCATGGAACATTTCAAAAACTCAATTTTATGAGTTCCTTGAGATTTCTTATGAATTTAGAAAGATTAAAGAAAGCCATCAACTCACTGGTGCTTGCAGGTCCAATAATAGTCCATAAATAACCCTCATTAATCCTGCACCTTGACCACACTTGATTTTACTGGGTTTTATCACTGACGCTCCTTATTAGTTTTAGTAACTGAAAGCATCAAGTCTTTATTTGGTTTGCAGATATAGTTTAAAGAGTTCATTTGAGAGAAAGTTGTTCTGTGATTTACGGTGTACTAGTTTGTACAATTGGGAAAGCTTTTGTCATGATTTCAGCAGTCATAAATACAGTTCTAGAAAAAAATGCTAACTCAGGCCTTTTAGATTACTGATTTGAGATTTAAGTCCTTGTTTAATTTTAGTAAAAAGAGTTGCAAATGAAAAAAATCTATCTAAGGCAGCAAACGAACCATTTATAAGCCTTAGTTCTCAATCATCAAAATTGCACATTTAGACATTTAAAAATCAGGTGCAAGGGCTGGGGATTTAGCTCAGTGGTTCTGCTGCTTGCCTTGCCAAGCGCAAGGTCTTGAGTTTGATCCCCGGTACCAAAAAAAAAAAAAAATTCCAAAAAATTCCAAAAAATAAAAATAAAAATAAATAAAAATCAGTTGCAAGTTAGAGAACAGTTAGAAATGAATGTTATGAGTTGGGGTCTTTTATGACAGCCCACAATATATTAAATATCCATACCTTGAGGCTAATGTGAAAGTATAAACTATTAATATGTAGCAGAAAAAGAGGGAAAAAGATGTTTGAATCAAAATCATCTCTTATAAGACACATGCATTAAATGCAGTGGTGGAATTTAATAAATTCTACTAAAAATATATTAGAATGGGAAATAATAGATTAAAATAAGAAAATTATATTAAATGATTGAGCTAAGGATAGGTAGTAGAGCAAGTACGTAGTTTTCAAGAGGCCCAGGTTTCAATCCCCTGTACTGTTTTTTTTTTTAAAGATGCAATTCTTCCTTCTTTCATATAAGATTACAAAATACTCTTATATTCTAGCAGAAAATTTGAACCTCATATTTTTTTATTCATCCATTTTTGTCTAGCCCCACTGTACAAGTAGAGAGAAAAGTGTTTTTTCTGAGTGTAAGATGGATACCTGCAATTTATGGTTAACTTAATGATGTACAAAAATGGCCCCAGGGCAAGTTTCATTACAAGCGGCCAAGGCCTTCAGAAGCAGTGGGAATCATCTCTGATCAGAGACAGGATCTGCAGAATGTCCCCAATTTCTGCCACACAGAGAAACAGCCTGGAAAACATACTGAACTATTTAGCTATCTTAAGTAATAATTTCACCTACAATGCTCCGCTATAATGAGAAAACCATTTCTGTATACTAAATATTACTACTCAAAAAAAAATTAATTTCTGTGGACTAAGGTTCCACGGGCTTAATAAATCCAATTTCCCCATCAATTCCTGGTTTCCCTTTTTGTGGGAAGGAAGCACAATATACAGGTTAAATAGATAGCTTCTTTTCATCCTAGTTTGTTTGAAATCCAGAGCTCAATGTGAAGTGTGCTATACATAGTAAATTAGTGAATACAGGGTGGGGGGCATGGATGAGTGTTGGTGGGCAATGAACCAGGTCCTTACATATGGTAGGCAAACACTCTAGCACTGAGCTACATTTCTGTTCCTTTCTACTTATACTTTTCTTTTGAGACAGGGTCTCACTGAATTGTCCAGGGAGTCCTCAAAGTTATGATCCTTTTGCCTCAGCTTCTTGAGTAGGCAGGTGTTCTATCTTTTTGTAAAGAAGAAAGTCCTCTGCCTATTCCCTGAAAATTAGTCTTCCATAACAATAACAGCATTATTCTGAGTTTGGGGGGAAAAAACTAACTCCTTAACTTTTTCTTTTCAGCACCGTAGATGAATATTCACCACAAAGGAAGGTAAGCAGACCCTTCTGTATCTGAAATCGGGTGATTTGGTTGGAAACCTTGCCCTGCCTGGGTTGGCATTTCTTCATAATTAAAATGTATTTGCCTAAAGCATCACAAGGCAAAGCAGGGAAGTCTGGTGCTGAGGCTGCCTGTACTTTCCTGCTCTGCTGTGTGGTGTATATCTCTGTGTGGTGCATATCTGATTTTAGCAATATACTTTGACTATGTGATGTTGTACATACTTTATGGTGCATTTTGAAGTCTCAGAGCTTCCCTGTTGTCCCTAAACTGATAAAAATTTGAAGTTTACAAAGTTTATGCCAAAAATCTAAGAATCTTGATTCAGAGTATAAGAAATTCATGTAAGGAAAAGGCTTGCACTCTGAACATGACAGAAGGAGTGGTGGTAGCATGCATGAGTATGTTCCTGTTGAACTTGATAAGGGAGAAATACAGAACGCAATGTCCAGCCCATGTTTTGTAGATGGGTAATCACAATGAATAGTGCACCTGTTTCTTCTAAGAAGCCTATGAACTACATTAAGAATATGAAAACATTTCACAGAGTTGCTTTTGTGAGAAATGTAAAAAGCAGAAGCTCTATTCTGGTATCTGTGACTTGGAGGTTAATGTTGGCTTGGGGAGAATCTGTGAATGTTTGCAGTAGCCAGAGGTGAGAAATGTGGGGTATTCTCTAGCATGTGGGAGGGAATCATTAGAGAAGTTTTTTGCCTGCTACTGACCTTGGCCTGGGCCCATCATATTGCCCAGAAGAATCTCTATCTCCCCATTTATTAATTGAGGCTACACCCAGTTTGTTTTTCCTAGATTGGATGGGTAGATTTCATATTTTTAAGAAAAATTGCATGGCTCTTTTGGAACATGTGTAAGCAGCTATGGTTTACCAAAGGGCAGGAATATATTCACTGTTCTCTTTCTCCCTTCTCACAGAATAAAGCCCTTTTCCACCAATTCAGTCTTAAGGAGAACTGGCTCCAGCATAGAGGAACTGTGGCGGAAACAGAGGAAAGTGAGTAGGATTTTAACCGAGGTTTGGGATAGGTGAACTCGTAGCAGGTCACCATTACAGCCCTCCACGAATACATCAGCCTATGTTTAGCTGTCATTTCTCACTGTCGTCCCCCTCTGACAAACATTTAGTATCAAATAGCATGGTTTTCCTTTTCTTGCTTTGAGGTTACAGTTGTCTTAAGTCATATAATACTGTCCCCAGAACCAAAGTTACATTTAGTTTGGGAAGCAAAGAAAGGAGAGGATGCAAAGAGCCCTCTTGTGCTCTAGGATAGAGGTGCAGAATACACCAGAAACTCAGCCTTGTCCTCCCTGAGCCTTCTCCCCAACTCCCCAACTCTTTCAGACTTTTGCCTACAACTAACTGGAAAAGCCACCAAAGCCAGTGTACAGAGTTTTGGCTGAGTCAGTCCCTGAGATTTAGAGAAGGAAATCTTGGAGAGAATAATGAAAGGTGTGTAGTAGAAATTCCTCCAAGGCAAGGCAGTGCCAGGCAATGCTGCACTTCCAATGGGTCCAGAGACAGGATCATGGCCTCCAGTGAAGATGGCCCATTCATTCAATACAGGGGAAAAGGCTGTTTTCGCATCCTTTAGATGCTGGTGTGCTTTTCTGTGTGAATATTTATACTAGAACCAAAATGGTGGCAGTGGTTTACTCCTATTTAGATAAAGATTGAGTCAAAGGCAAAGCTGGGAAATAGTGAATTTAAAAAATGTTCATGCTAGTGTGGATCTGAGATTCTCTCTTGACTCACCTTTCTCCATCTGTTGAAATTCAAAGTGTAAACATTTGATAATTGACCAATTTTTTGAACATTTAAAGTACAAAATGTAGGGCCCGGGGATTTATTTAGCTCAGTGGTTCTGCTGCCTGCCTTGCAAGCTCAAGGACACGAGTTCGATCCCTGGTACCAAAAAAAAAAAAAAAAAAGTACAAAATGTCACAAGCTTGCCTCTTTTGTGATGTTTATATACAGTGCTGCTGATGGATGGGGTTCTATTGTGTCACATTAGGTCATCTGCCCCAAGTAAGAGAGGAAACAAAATTATCTTGCCTCCTAATTTGTTAATTGCTGACCCTTCTTGCCCATTTATCTTATAATTTAATTGTATAGTTTTCCAAGCTGAGCTTGGAAGAGGCTATTTGAAGGCCCCTGGGCTTTTTTTGCTCATCAGTTTATTAAGCAAGCTACAAATTTACCCTGCATTTAGTGCTTTGTAGACTGGATTTATGCCTTGCTCAAAAAATTGCATTTTTATATAGAAGGAGGAAAATCTTTTTTTCCCATCTCACAAGTCTCTTGACAAACTATACAACAATTATTTGTTAGAAGCTAGTGTTTTAGTGACACACCCAATAAACCTAAACAAAATCTCTCATCTGCCTCTGTAGTGTGTTTACTTTGAGGTTCTGTACATGGTTAGGCTTTTGCTTTACTTGCATTTCTATGAAACCATTCCTGGGTTTATTTTTGTGGTGCTATTTAAATTGCACATGAAATTTCTCTAAGAGCTTACTCTCTCCCCCAGTTTTTTTGCAACACAAAAGCATGAACTATCTAAGTATGTTGTTATCCTTCTGTTTGTTCTAAAGCAGCCAGTGTTCTAGACATTCAGTGTAGCTAACATAAGAAGCAAGGTGTCAGTTACGTCCATTGCTATTAAGACAGGTTTTGGAATTCAAATCAAAAAGAAAAAATTTTCCAGGACCTGTTCACTTTAATAGTGATAATGCCCTAGTAATAATTTTTATCACCACAAACAATAAAAAGGAAATTTAAAAGGCTAAAAATGTGATCTCCATTTGGAAGCTAAACTGATCACCACTTTGATGTGGGGGCGGGGATGTCATTCTTAAAACCCTGAGAAAGCTAAACCGAAAACTAGGCAAGTGACAGATGTTTAGCTACGCTTATGAGAATTCCAATAGCAAATGCATTGTTCTTGATTGGGCCACTGAGACTGCCCTGAAATGGAATGTAAAATAAAAATTTATGAGTTAGACATTTTAATACACTGCTTTGGGAGATCTCAGCAATTCTTAAAGAAGGGATTCAGAAGTACAGTCTGCATAGCAGGGTTTCCAATGTATTATATGTTCCTCTACCAGGAACATGCACTGGTGTGACTCAGTCTCCCCTATAGTATGGGCAGCCCAACTACCACACATGCCTCTTTGCCAGCTCTGTAGCATCTGTGTCTCCTGTGTTAGCAGGCATATATTCAAAGGCAGATAGCTCAGTCCCTCATGTGCATACATGAATAGCAAGTTAGATGTCTCACTTTGAAATAGTCTGCTCCACATGACCAGACTTCTCTGCTCATGAACAATTCTTTTGACTTCTGCAGTTTTTTGCCACGTGTATATAACAGAGCACTCCTATGTCAGTGTGAAGGCAAAGGTTTCCAGTACAGCCCAGGAGATCCTGAAGGTCGTAGCAGAAAAGATCCAACATGCAGAAGAAGATCTGGCTCTGGTGGCCATCATGTTCTCTGGGGGTAAGTTATTTTCTGTCTTTGAATATTACTCTTACACTAGATTGCCTCCAAAAGGAGAAAGTTGACATTTTTGTAACGTTAACTGTGCTGCTCCTCCCTTCTGAGCCCACAGCTGGATGACCGCAGTAACAATAAGAAGCTGCCTACCAGAGGTGTTTCCATGACAACAGTGGGGTACCGCTGGATACTGAAATTCCTCCCCAAGAACTGAATAGAGAGGCGCATTGGTGTTTTGAAATGTATTATAGCATTATAAAGCTTTTTGTATTTTGCACTTAGATAAGCCTTCCATTTTCATTTTTAAATGAACTTGGGAAATTGCTAAAGGGTGAAATTACTGTAGAGAAAAAAAAAAGAAAAATGGCCTTGAACTAGTCGTATTGCTGGCTGACAATTTAATACATCGACTCCCCACTGGAAGAAAGGAAAATGTACAATAAGCCTAAGCTCACAGGGCAGTGTTTCTCTAGGTGGATGTGGGGAGTGAGAACTGGTGAAAGCTCTCCTTCCGCTGGGCCTTATTTATCCTCAGAGAAAGGTTCATTGTCTGTTTTGAATAAGATCACACAGATTACAAGCTGACACTATTGATCTACAAGGCTGGAACAGACCCCTTTGTTTTCACAAGGGCCTGTCAAATTGCAATGTCGATGGCCTTCTTTTTGGCTTACAATCTTTATTTAATATCTCATTAACCCTGAGGAAAATACAAAGAAAGTGACTGAGCATCAGTAGTCGACAAATGGAAGCACTGTGTGAATTAATCAACCTGGGAGAAAAGAGGGGAGATAGATAGTGTTACTCTTTTTATGCTATAGGGGAAGATGAATCCCAGAGTATATTCCACATTAAAATATTATGTAACAGAATTTTCTAACTCGCAGGTAAGTAAAATGGCCCTGCAAGTGCATCGACTACCTATGCAAACAGAGCCCTTCTCCTTAGGCCTAAAAACTTCTCACTGTACATCCTATCAAATGTTATTTAGGGCTAGGGTATAGCCCAGTGGTAGAACAGATGCTTAAGCATGTTTGTGGCAAAAATATGAGAAACATTTGGACCTGATGAATTTTGATCAGGAAGTTATTAAATTACTAATAATATATTTTGGATATTTCAGATTAATATGATAAGTGGATTTTATACTTAATTTTTGAGTGGCCAAAAACAATAAATGATTTTAAATAGTATTAACCTTCATCAAAACCAACATGTGCCTCTCAAGACAGTACTATTGCAGGAAGTGACCACTGGATCCCTGCTGAGTTGAGAGGTGCTGGAGAAGGAAGGGACTCATGTAAACTTCGCAACGCAACTGAGACCTATGTCCCTGAGGAGCTCATTTCATTCAGTCCAGGGCCGTTCAGAATCTGGCAACTTAGGCATGGTTCTTTCACTACCCAGTATCTGTTTGATGGCTGTGAAGTACCATTTTCATGCTCCATTAAATTAGATTCACCAGGGTGGGCAGTGGTGTTCTAATGTGTATAGATCCGTTGCTAATCAGCATGGGAAATATCAGCTTATCTCCTGAATTATCCCACAGATTTGGAAATGTGCCATCATTTTCCATGCATTAGATTGTCTTTTTTTTTCGTCTGTAAAGAGCCTTTCTGCCTGTATTTTATTATCTCTGAAACAATGTTTTAATTAAAGAAAAATTAAAACAGAGCTTAATGTATTCCTTTGCTCTAGTTACATAATGTTTCACAAATAATATTTCTCTACTACTTCCGAATGAAATGATGAGATCTGTTCTTTTTGTCAAAAAGGTTTAAAGATGTTGGAAATGTTTGTGAATTTTTCTAAAAGAAGCAGAACTATTCTCATAGCTTTAGTTTTCTAGCGCTTTTGTAAGGGCAGGTATGCGTATAGTATATCATAACAATAACCTGCCCACTTACTCAGAGGTTAAAAATCAGCTCCAATCTCCTGTAGTATGTTAATAAACCTGAAAAGACTTCAGAATCCAGCTGTGTGGGACCATTGACCACCCCTGTCCACACCCCAACATCCTTATACTATTGATTTGTGGCAGTGGAGACAACTGGGGATTAAAGCAGGCTGGGGCTGAATCCTCAGATGGAAGGGGCAGTTGGGTTCCCAGGACAGGAATCCTCATGACATGAGGCCGTCTCAGTCACATGGGGCTCTCTTGGAATCCAAGGTGACCATAGGTTTAGAACAATGGAGACTTCTGGGAATAGTTGTTCTTGATCTTAAAGGGTAATCAAGATAGGTTAAGTAAGTTTAGGGTTATTAAACTTCCTTTGCCAGCTTTTAGACGGATACTCCAGGACTTGGCCCAGAGTTCCACAAAGTGGAGGTCAAGCTTCATTATACCTTTAGTTACCTATTGGGCATCTCTAGGCGCAAGTGAAGAGTCACAGATCTTAGCAAAAGTCACTTTTAAGTCTAACTTAGGAAAAGACACAAATCATGCTTCTAATGAGTAACAGGTTAAGAGCCCAGGAGTTTGTGCTCTGTCCCCATAATGTTTTCTATGTCGTGAGTATGCCAAAGGTATATGAAACATGGCATTTCCCAGTTGTACTGGATTACTGAGGGGCTGCCTTAAGAGACCTTGATTATGTCACAGTAGAATTCCTGTGTGCGTTTTGTGCTTTGGAGGAGAGCATCTTCTCTGAAGAAAGCTATTGTATTATTAGAGGGCTTCAACTAGTGTAGAAAAAAGTCAAAGAATAGGAACAGAATGCAGTAAGAGAAATAAAAGAGGAATAGGCAGAAAGTATTCAACTTCACCAATAGATAAGAAGTACAAAATAGACCCAGTTGTAGGGGTTCACGCCTGAAGTCTCAGCACTTTGGGAGGCTGAGGCAGGATTTCAAATTCGAGAGCAGCCTGGGCGATTTAGCAGCTCAGTGCGAGCGAGCCTGTGTCAAAATAAAAAAGGGCTGAGAATGGCTCAGTGCAAAGTACTGGGTACAATTCACAGGTCTTTTAATTTATTTATTTTTGGTTTTTTGAGGCAGGGTTTTGCTTTATAGTGCAGGCTGGCTTTGAATTCACTGAATAGCCCAGGCTGGCCTCAAACTCACTGTGATCCTCCTGCCTCAGCCTCCCAAGTGCTGGGACTACAGGTGTGCACCACCACGCCAGGCTCCTCAATTCCCAGTTTAAAAAAAAAAATACAAAATATACTGAGAATTTTGTTTGTTTTAGTAAAACAGCAAACTTACCCAAAGTAATAATCCATCTTGGTCAGTATACAAGTTTTCTGTCTTTTAGGAAAATGTGTTAATTTATTTTCTAAGAAGAATTGGAAAACAGATTGACACTTTGTATCAAAAACTTTACAATTATTCATTCCTCTTGACCCAGTAATTTCAGGACTGGGAATTCGTCTTAAAGAAATCACCTATAAGCCAAAAAGGATTTATGCACAAAAGTCCTGACTTGAGCAGTATATATTATGGCTGCTATGATGATAGAACCCATTTGCCAAGTACTTGTTATAGGCCAGCCTCTATGCTAGTACTTAACACGTATCATGCTGTTTCATGTATGTCACCAAAACAATTGGAAACTATTAAATGTCCAACAATAGAAGAAAGATTAAATGATCAACCTGTTACATAACCAATTAAATATGAGGCACATAAATAATTTTGATACCTGGGTAAGTGCCTATAATGAAGTAGAATATAAAACCATATAGAGAGTAACTAAATATTTATGTGTGTATGAATAATTATGAATGATATATACGTAATAATTGCAAGTATTTGTGTGTGGTTATTTTTGGAGAGATTTAATTTAGGGTAAATTTTACTTTCTTCCTTACACTGTCCTTATAATGATTAGATATTAAAGGAAGGCCCTCAGGAGGGCTTCACTCTATGGGTTCTGAGCAGCAATGTCCAGGATACCACTAGCATCACTGTGTAGTGTGCAGGGCTGAATTAGTTTAGTTTAAATCCTAGTTACTGTGCTTCTCAATATGTTTCTTGTGCAAGTTTTACTCTGTGTATTGTGTAGGCCCGCTTATGTTTCTTATTTTTAAACTTTTTTATGATTAAAGAAAAGCATGAGCTTCAGTCAAATGATTTGGCCATCTCCAAATCCTTTGAGGCCTCTGGTCGGATATATGTCTACCGGAAGGACCTGGCGGACACATTGGTAAGGATCTCTAACTTTGTGGTTAAAATACACAAATGTCAGGATTGATGCATGTAAGTGGATGAGATATCCTCAGGCCTTTTTTTTATTTTGAGGCAGGATCTTGCTAGTTACTAACTGTAGGGAACAGGGAAAGGGGATGTTACTAGAACCTCTGTAGTAAGTCCTAGTCTCCTGCGAGCCATTGTAACACAAGGCAAATTACAGGAAAGGTAGAAAAATGAGACTGAGAAGAAGCTGAGCTTTGGGTCTGATCAATGCTGCTCTGGGTGGCAAAGACAAAAGCCCCCACCTTACTGCACCTTTTATTCAGTACATTGGGAGAAACAAAGTCTAACAAATGACTTGCAGAGAGGTCAGTACATCCTGCGTAAATAAGATGAAACAATCCAAGAACAAGGAGGAACTGAGTAGATGTTTGTTCCTCCCAGGATGTTTTCAGCTCCCAGGATGTTTCTTGTCCTGGAGAATCCCAGCATCACTGGATCATTGAGGTCTCAGTTGGGATCGGAGGCCAAAATGCAATTATGTCTCGGAATTCCATAGCTGGGCTGTAGGCAGGAGAACTAGGCTAACCAAATGATTTTCCCCTAAAATTATGTAGCATTGCTCCCGACAGCTAACCAGCCAAGGCTGAGCTCAAGCTTTGTATCCTCTTCCCTCACCCTCCCAGAGTGCTGGGATTATTGGCACGTGTCACCATGCCCAGCCATTCTTGTTTCCTTCTGATTCCCTGAAATAAGGCGTCTGAGACAAATGACTCCCTCTCCTGGAATTTTAATTCAATTTCTTCTTTTTGTTGTATATATGGAGATTAGGCTGAGGAAAGCTCCCTAGGTAAATTTGAAGGGAAAGAGACCCATTCCAGTTGATGCACTCTTGCTGTTCCATGCCCTTGAAGGAAGAACGGACTATCAGCCTTCCCTGTGTAAGATGAGATCATAACCATGGGGCTTGGGATGCCCCTCAAGAGTTTAATGAAATGTAGAATCCGTTCTTTATTTTCAATTTAAATTTGAAGAATGTTTATGCTTGAATGGACCTTTGTTTGCTGTTTTTCTACCTAAAGATCTCTCTTAAGGTTACTTTCTGAAAGATAGGCTCTGTCTAGATCTATCAGCACCTGGAAGGAGCAGGCTGTAACAGTGGATCGTGGTCTTCTAGACTCAGAGTCCTCTTCTCCTCTCATGGACTCCTCATGGGGTCCTAGCTGGCTCCTATTGTATGTATACTGTACTTGAAGGATCTTTATACCACATGGGCTAGCTAAAATTGCTTTACTAAAAATATTTTATGTAAAATTATCCACAGGCTATCAAGTTATGAGAATAATGTTAATCACTGTCACTCGGCATACTTACTACCAGGCACATATGTGCCTCATTTAAGACTCACAGTATCCCTGTGAGGTTTAGAAAGACTAAGTAACTTTCCCTGGCTTCCTGTAGCCAAATAAGGGTGAGTGCCAGTGCTTTAAATCCTATTCTGTTTCACTTTGAAGCCCCTGCACATTCCTTTAATTTGTATATGATGGGGAAGAAATGTAAAGGAAATCCTTTGCTTTAGTTGGACCTGTCCTATTCTGTCCTCCTGCGGGTCCTGAGTCCTGTGGAATATCATCAGGGAAACAAGACAAACTGTAGACTTTTTGAGTAAAGCTGGAGACTGATTTTACTCCTCCACATGGAGGAGGACAATCTGATATATAGCTGCTATGGGGCTCGCTCCTTGTGGTAGAGGGGCCATACTCTAATTGTCCTCATTCCCTTCTCCCTCTGCCACATGGCCTCCTCCTGTGGTTCCCAGGGCTTGGCTCTGGGGCTGACTTTAGCCTGGGCATGTCTCAGTGGAATACAGGGGTGCTGTGCAGAAGGTGCTAAGAGGAATCAGACTCCATCCTGCCCTTGAATGGCTCCCCCACCAGCTTTGGGCACTGCCTCACATATCTCCAGGGGAATCATCAATTTGGCCATCTCATCCCTGGAATATTTCAGTCAAAATAGAGCATTGAATTTTACACAAAAGCACAGGTACCCACTAGCACCTTCACATTAGTAAATTTTAGCAGTCAAGGATTAGCACCATGAAGAAACAGGATAGAGAAACATAAAGTGTTTCTTGGCTGGGGCTGTAGAAGTCTTTGAATAACCAAGGGAAGCTACCAGGGTAAGGGGCACTTTTAGGAAAAGGTAAGAGGGACAGAAAGCCAAGTAAACATATCCCTACAGCTCCAAATGATTCAGCGGGTATTGATGTTGCTTCCCAGTCTCCTGGCAGTCTTCCTGGCCCTCCCACTCAGCCAGTATCTGAAAACCATGTCTGGAAGGTCATTTATTTAGGGCTTTCTGAGCTCCACACTAAGTTCTCACGCTGAGAATATAGAGGCAGTTTGTGCCTAGACCTGTTCTGAGGAGAATCAATTCTATAGGAAAGTTCTGTGAAGGTCTTTTGTCATTAGTTTTTAAAATTAGGAAATTTCTTCATATAGCGAAAAGCTTCTAAAACGCAAATGATTTTTCAGGTTAGAAGTAGGAACTACTATTTGGCATCTGAGATATAGCCCCTTTATCTTACCATGCCATTTATTTTTGCAAAGTCTCGTTCTTTTTGCTTTTCAGTCATTAACTATTCAAATCCAGTCCCTCAAATGGGAGAATTTATACTTTATTTAGAAACTATCAAGTACTTTGGAAAAGTGCCAAATTATTTTTTAATAACTTTAACAGTGATGATAGATTTAAAGCTGTGTTGGCATTTAATAATTTCATGCAACACTTTTGAGGAAGTACTATTACTAGCCTCATAGCGACAAGGTTCCATTCATGTGGGGAAAGCAGTGGATACTTACCAGCTACTGTGGGGTGTAAATGAAATTAGCTTTCATTTTTTTATTTCATGTTAAATTTTTTCACTTTCCATGAACATTTTAATAAAATTTGTAAATATATGTCTGGGATGAGACATATTAGACATGTTTCTGTAAAAGCCATGTCTGTCTTTACTGAAGTGCACTGTGACATTTCTTTTGTTTGTTATTATACTAACCCTGCTGGCACATTAATTCTTACCAGCAGCCAAACTGATTTCAGGGCTGTCGCTTTCATTATGCTGTCTGCCAGGGCAGTGTTTTATAATCAGATTTGTAGGTGGGTGGGTGTGAGCTTGAGGGGGACGATGGAGGAGGGGCCAGCTAATTCAGTGAAATATCATCGATCACATTCTACTGTTTCCAAGACTAGTTCCTAAATTGGCTATAACTCACTGATGGTGAAGAGACCAGGGGAAATGTTAAGTGCACTTGGGAAAGATTACTTTTCTAATCTGGGCTTCTAGTGCCTTTCCACAGGCAGCCACTGGTCTGTAAAACATTTGGGACTAAGGATCCTTTTGCTCCCGTTGGTTTAGAACCCCTTTGCAGAAAATGAGGAATCACAGCAAAGGTCGATGAGAATTTTGGGAATGAACACTTGGGATCTTGCTCTGGAATTAATGAGTTTTGATTGGAGTCTCTTCAATTCAATTCACGAGGTGAGTAAGGAATTAAAAGATTTTAAATGCTAATGCTGTTTTAACTGTGCATTCTTCAAGATATTTATTCATGTGGTCATGTAGTTATGCTAGGGATAGCATGGCCCAAAAGATATTTGGGGACTTGAAATATATTGGAAGTCTGACCCTCTCCTAGGGAAATCAGAATATATAATCTTCCTCTATTTACGCCTAGTGCTTTTATAATGTTGCGTGTTATATAAATTAGTATGGATCTGCTGGATTTTTATGTTTATATACATTTATTATGGGCATTTAACATATATACATATATGATGCTTTGAGATTAAAGAATTTTACCTTTGATATTCATATTTCTATTTTTTATGATGTTTACAATAGTTGTGCCAGAATCGTTTATGTGTATGTATGTATACATACACACACACATTCATCCACTTAACATTTCTTAAAATTTAGACTGTGCTACAAGACTTCAAATACTTTCTTATAAATTTTTGATATTTTCAAATTTTTCTGTCCACCAGCTTCTCCCATGAGGACAGATTAAACATTTTAAACAGTAGGTTAAGAGAAAAATGCTAATGACAATGAGTAAATTTGCCTGGTGGAAAGGCTCACGGGAGTGAGGAGATGAAAAATGTTACAGCCTCATGTAACTATATGTGGCATTTATTCTGCCATTTGGTGAAATTTTTCATTCTGAAATGGCCTTTTCTTCAAAAGAGGAAACCTCCCGCCCAATTTAGAGAACCTTGAGCTTCATTTTCATTTTGGAATGTCTTTTGAAGTGTTTCATAGGTGGGAGTGGTTGTGCATGCCTGTAATCCCAGGACTCTGAGAGGCTGTTATAGAGTGGGATGTGTTGCTGTTTATGCCCTGTAGAATACGTATTACTTCTGTAAAATACATACACTTGTTTAAAAATCTACTGTTTTATGTGTGATCAGTTGATATAGTTATGGACCTGCTTGTATTTGTAAATTATTGGACCTTGCCCTTAATCTTATGTTTCTTTCTGTTTATTTTTTACTATATCTTATATCGGGGGTTTTCAAAGGGCAGTTAACGAGGCCACATTACCAGCACCACCTGGAAACTTGCTAAAATTACAGGTTTTCATACCCGTGCATGGTAGTGTGCATCTGCATGTGGTCTCAGTTATTTGAGAGGAAAACATTCCACAAGTTTGAAACCAGGCTGGACAACACAGTAGAATTGTGTCTCAATACAAACAAACAAACAAAGAGGAAGAAAGTAATGGATTGTTTTTCCAGCTCCTCCACAGATCTACTGATCAGAAATTAGGGGTGGGTCCAGCAATCTCAGCTTTGACAATCCTTGGTTTTTCTCATTCACACTAAAATTTGGTGACTTTTGGATCTGATGTGCACCTTAACAAAGAGTTCTAGTGTCATTTTCAGCTGGGTTTTCCACATAACAAGTTTTAGAAGTTTGAGGATTCCGTTTGGCCTTTGATTTAAACTTTAGAATATTTTAGATTTTCATGTAAATTTGTCTTTGCATTCTGAAAAGAATATTTTCACATAAATATTCTAGGTGAAACACTATTGAATAAGGCATCTCTAAAACTAAAGAATAATCATTTTGAGTTTCCTATTAACATATTAACGATACAGGAATGGCTTCTTGAGGTAGCTCTTAAAAATGGACTGAATTTTGTGTCAGCTTGACCTGATGCACGAAAAATAAACCCTGGAATGAATACATTTTCTTTCAGCAAGAGCTGATCTACTTCACATTCAGCAGACAGGGAAGCGGGGAACACACTGTAAACCTCAGCCTCCTGCTCCAGAGATGCAACGAAGTCCAGCTCTGGGTGGCCACAGAGATTCTCCTTTGCACCCAGCTGGGCAAGCGAGTGCAGCTGGTGAAAAAATTCATCAAAATCGCAGCTCAGTAAGTTTCTTGTAGTGACTAGTGCTCATCCTCACATCTCCTTCAGAAGGTACCTTGGTGTCATTACCCATCCCACCACAATGATAAGAAGGGTTGGAAAGTAAAAGTTTAGTAGTGAGTTAAGGGACCAAATGGTTGAAAAGCTCTGTTCTTGAATATTTATGTCTTTGCATTTGAAATATTTATATCTTAAAGTAAATGTCAAAATACACAGACTAAAGCTTTGTGTTCTATACTTAGAACTAATAAACAGGGAGTACACAATCCTACAATGTGCCTGGGTGGACTACACGAGGCTAGGAAAATGGGGGAAGGTAATGTGAAGGAGTGAGAATCACTGGAAATCAAGTGCTTAGGATCCTCATTGCTCCTTGCTGCCTGCAGTATGAACTTTTGCAAACTCATCGTTAGAAGGCCCTGCACTGGCAGGCCCTGCCTAACCCCTGAGCCTCAGCCGGGTGCAGTCCTGTGCTCCAGCCACTGTGAATATATCTCTCCTGCATATCCATCCTTCAAGCTTGGACACGGGTTGGTTCTGCTCCAAATGGCCCTTTCACCCAACAGATTGCTGCTATCTTTTAAGACCTTGGTCAAATGTTACTTCCTTCCAGAAGCCATCCCTGACTTTCAAATACATGGTCAACTAAGTCCCCTCTGCGCACATGAACCTTTTGCCTTTTCAAAACTGCCTTATTATATTTGTTTTTACAAGATTCTTTCATTGGGTTTTGTTAGCTTCCAAATGACAGGAACCATTTCTAATGAATCCTTGTACCTGAGTCCTTGGTAGAGAATGTGTTAAAGAGCAATGACTCAGTAAATGTTGGTTGGATGAAATTTTGGTAATGTGCTGGGAGCCTCGTGAAATGCTAGATTAGTGTCCTAGAGTATTGTTTGGACAGCTTCCCAACAGAAACAAGAACCATGGATCAAAATCTTTCCCAATTCTTTTTGCTTCCCAGGCTTCCCATTGTATTTCTCCTTTTTGTTCCAAAGTAGATTATTATCAGTTTTCAAATACTGTTATCCTTCATTGCTTATTTCCAGGGCATGAATTTCAAGATTGCCGTGGATACTAGAATCTAAGGGTGTTCACATCCTTTATATAAAATGGTATGATATTTACATATAACCTACACACATCCTCCTGTATATGTTAAATCCTCTCTAGGTTACTTATACTACCTGTGAAATATAAATGCTATGCAAATAGTTATACATTGTATTGCTTATGGAATAATGACAAGGAAAAAAGTCTATATGTGATTGATACTGACACAGCCATCATAGGTCTAACTATATATAGTACAAGATCAGGGTTGGTTGAACCCACAGATGTGAAACCAGAAGACATGGAGAGCTGACAGTACATGTCAGTGCAGTATATTCAGGAAATACCTACTGATGATTCATTATTTGTGCACATCTGTACAAGGGAGTATGGAGAAATCAGACTGAGGCTTCACCCACCCAGGCCTGGGTTGGAGGAGCTTGGAGTTTTCGAGGTTAATTGGCAGCTCAGCCTGCTGCTGAGAATAGAATGGGGCGGGGGGGCGGGGGTGCTCCTGTGAGGACTCATTCTGTTGAGGGCTTTAGAGGAGGGAAAAGCTCATCCCAGCATTCAGGAAACAAGGAGATGAAACTGACATTTGAGGATCTGAATTGTGGATGGGGTCTGACAGGTAGGAGGTCAGAAAAGCACTCCGTCCATGAGGACGCTCACTGGGGACAGAAGCAGAGCCTGTGGCCAAGCAAGGCAGCCTCCTCCTGGGATCTGCCAAGCACGGAGGGCCATTTGTGAGGAAGCTCTGGTGTTTGAAGGAAGATCCGTAAAGGATCTTGAATTTCAGCTGAATTCAGAAGGCAGAAGGAATCCTTTGAAAGTCAGTGAACAGGAGACTGTGATAGGATCAGAGCTGTCCTTCAGGAAGGCTGACCTGAAAGCACCACAAACTGCACTACCCGCCAAGAGTCCCCAAGAGCGGGAGGCAAGACCTTCCGGGGTCTGATGTGACTGGGTTGGGAGGAAAGATAACAGATAGGCCTAAATCATAGACTGCTTTTTGTTGAAAAAAAAATTCTTCTTTAAATTCACCCAGTAGGTTCTAAAATGGGTTGTAAAATTTCTGAAAGTGAAGCTGTTTTGGGTTAAAAGCTTTCATGTAAATGCCAGTTACAGGAAAAAATAGGACATTAATGTTCCAAGAAGTAAAATGACACCATCCAGCTCCATTCCTACTATAAGATTGTATCAATCCTCAGGGAAATAAAATATATTCACATATCTTTTCCATATAGCTGTGTGCTCTTGAATTATTTATGGTACTGGTCTCTATCCCAGCCCATGGAGTAGAATGCCAAAAAATCCATAAAGTTAAATTCCTGATAATCCCACTAGTAAGAATAACCAAGGGGAAACAGTAATTTCCGCAATCATGAAGTGTTTTCCCTGCCCAAGGCATCCAATTTGCATATTCATGTTTCCCCTCCTTTCCATCCCCTTCCCCCACCTCTGTGGATTGAGTGAATTTTATTTTCTTACACAGAGACAAAGGAGGGTGTGCTGGCCTGGAATGTTTAGTGTCAGCCAGTTGCTCTTATCATAGAATGACTGACTCATGGAAACAAGATTCTGACTGGAATAGTATCTGATATTTATACTGTATCAATTTGTCTACCATAGAAATTATATCTATATTTAATTCTTTTTTTAAAAAGATTCAGATGGGGTATGTGGGGGGGGGGTTGACATGACTAATAAGGTTATATGGATTAGGAAAATTGCTTGTGAGAAGCTAAAAGATAAAAAGATGGAAATTACATCTAAAACTTTATATAGAGAAATGATTCTGAATAAGAAGAGGAATCATAGATTTTTACCATGAAAAAATATGACAACTCCCCAAAAGTTCTTGTGTTCAACTTGAGCAAATGCTATGTGAAAGACTGTCTATAATCGGTAGTTGGATATGGGCAGAATATAAAAAATTAAATAGGCACACACTGTAGCCTTAAGCAGCCCACTGTCAAGTGGGGATGGCATAACTGGCAGGGCCTCCATCAGAAGGGGGACCCAGGAGTCCAAGAGAGCTCCAGCAAGGCTGCTTCTGGCAGGAGCATGGAGCATTCTTCCTGACAAGAGCCTCAGCACAGGAGCCATTATTTCAAACCATTAGTCAAGAAATGGACTACTTCATGTCTGTTTTGGCTGCTGTGAGCTTTTGAGTCATGTGCTAAGACAGAAAGGATAGAAGGAACCAAGCAAATGGCAAAAGGGAGGTAGAGTCGCAGTACTGTATGGAAGCCTTAGGTTGTCTTCTAAGGTTTTCTTGCTTCAGTTTATTTGTGGAATATTCCAAGCGCCATCCACCCAGAAGAAAGTTGGCAAGAAAGCAGGAGAAAAGGTCAACTGGACTGGGGTCCAGAGCCTCCTTACCTCCCGCAGACTGTGGGCAGAGTCAAAGTTGGCAGGACTCACAGGGAAAGACCATACTGGGAGGCTGCGCAGTGTGGCACCTGCAGGACATGAGTCACCCCAGGTGTCTCTGACACGAGGTGTGGAGGCAGCAGTGCCTTTCCAGCTCCACTATGCATGGCTGTGGGCCTTGCTCCCTGTCTTGGAGCCCAGGCCCTACTGGGCAGGATCCAGTCCCAGTCCACAAAGCACAGGACCTGCCAGAGTCCGGTTTCTGTTTTCCTCGTTACTCTACCAGCCCTAACTATTGCCCAGGTTTTGACCTATGCATTCTTTTTCTCTCCCTGTGCCACTGGAAATTGTTATAGCTTTGGCAGACAGCAGTTTGTGGTATATAATGAAAACCTTTAAAGTCTTCATAGCTTTTGCCCTATTGTTACAGGAAAGTAACTCTTAATGTGTTAGATGTACGGAGTTTGTGTCTCACAACTTCAAACAATCGTTGAGCCCAAGAACAAAGGAGGTGAAGAGTAGGAAAGATTTATTAAGAGAAAGCTCCTGAGAGGCTGAGCAGTCCTGGAAGTTGGTTTCCACTGAGGCCCTTTCTCTCAGAGGTTTTATCTAGTAAAATCACATCACAGGTTATCTTGGGTCATACTGTGATCAACCTGTAGGGTTACAAGTGCAGTCACTTAACTAATATTGATCCAGTAGAAAAACAAGGTACGTAGTAAGGGTGCGTAGCATGGAGAAGAACAAAGGCATTTCTGGAAGAAGTAGGAGCAAGGCTCAGTGTTCTGGTCATCTATCTGCATGTGTGTTACATTGTTTCTCTGTTTGTTATATTATTTAGGGTTACTGGACCAGACGGTGCTAGTTACAGCACAGCTTTGAGCTGAAGCTGTTGCTTATCTCTGGGGAGGCTTGCAGGCCTAACCATCCTGTCTCCATCTTGAGTGCCTGGTTTCTATCAACTCAGACCTCAACCACTGACCTGCCTTCTCTCATCTCTGCTCTGACTCCATCTCCCACGTGGTCCCTTTAACTATCTGCCAATCTCTACCTAACTTAGCTATCTGCAATACTATCACATAATGGCTGGAGGTCTAACTTAATGGGAAAAAAATTTCACAAAATAGCAAAAATTCCTGTGGATAAAAATATTCATTGTGACATTTTATATAACACATAAGAATGTCTCCACTAGCAGAGTAAGCAAACTATGGAATATGTTTTTGGTGAGATATTTTGTAACCATTGATGATGATGATGATAAAGAATCCATAGCGCACGATACAAGATGGTTTTAACTAGAAAAGCAGGTACAGAGTTGTCCAGACCCTGCTCCCAAATTCCATGTGGGACACGGGTGATGTGAAAGAGTCAGCATAGGAGGGAAGCTAAACTGACATACATTGAGAACCTATTCACACCCTGTTCACTGCTAAATGCATTCAGATTTGTTTGTATTATCAAGGCAGGGCTGTATCTTTAAAAATTCTTACCTCAGAGGCGTTATTTCAAGCACTGTCCAGATAAAGAGGGATTTGGAATTCACAGCCTGTTTGGACTGGCCAGGAAGCCCATGCCTTCTCGGGCAGCTTTGAAACTTGATGTGAGCACAGACTTGGTTGATATTCAGAAGGCATAACCTTAGAATAACCTACAGAGTGAGTGAATAGAATTCAGTGTGATCCTTCTTAGTTTTTATTCTATTTCCTTCTTCAAATAAGAAATCTAAGGCAGCATCCCTATAGTAAGTGCGATATTTTAGTATATGTGGGCTGTAGCAGCCATTTTGTTGGTGGCACTGTGTCTAAGTGGAATGGGAGGGGGAGCTTAAAACCGTGGGGTGAGAAGGGCTTGTCTGTCAGAATTCACAACAGCGCAGGATGACAGAGCAGGACTACAGTGCTGTGCAACCAGGGTGTGGGTGCATAGAGGAAGTAAATTCAAAGAATGTTCAGTAGAAACTGTAAATGCATATAAAATGGGTTTTAAAAGAAGAAGGATCTCATGAAATATCAGGAGAGTGTCAAGAGACCTTTTCCTGAAGGCAAAGAGGGAGTGGGTTCTCTTGTGCTAGAAACAGCTGAGGGGGCTGCCACCGCTGGGCAGGCGCTGAAGGGTACCTAGGCTGAACTCTGTGACCTGAAAGGGGCTTTTCAGCTTTACCTTGTGTGTTTGTCCACTGAAAGAATGTTTCCTCAAAGTGTCTTCTGCTTTGCTTTATTCCATAGCTGCAAAGCCCAGAGAAACCTGAATTCTTTCTTTGCTATTGTGATGGGTCTCAACACTGCTTCAGTCAGCCGACTGTCACAGACCTGGGAGGTGAGCCTGGGGCTTTCACTGCGGGGGGAGAGGGGGCAACCAAACATGACAAAGAAACTCTGAATTTAAAATAAATTTGCTTAAGTGGTTTAAATGAGATAAATACTAAACTAAAAATGGAGAAGTAACGTGTTAAGGTGGTTGGGAGGATTTCCATCAGATGGTCTTTAAAATGGTTCTCTAAATGCAAATTAAAACAACACAGAAATTTCATATTAACTCCAGAAAGAATGGCTGTCACCAAGAAATCAAATAGTAACAAATGCTGGTGAGGCTGGGTTGGGGGGAATCCTTCTACATTATTGGTGGGAATGTAAACTAGTACAACCACTATGGAAATCAGTGTGGAAATTCCTCCAAAAAAAAAAAAAATAGAAATTTCATTTGACCCAGTTATTCCCCTCCTAAGTATCTTCCCAAAAGAGTTAAAATCATCATATTACAGTGAAACATGCATACCCATCTTTATAGCAACATAAGTCATAATAGCTGAAAATTGGAAACAGCCTATAAATATGTCCCTCAACAGATGAATGGATAAAGAAAATACGGTATTTACACACAGTAGAGTGCTACCCTGCCATAAAGGATAAACTTGAGTCATTTGCAGGAAAATGGATGCAACCTGAGATCAGAATGCTAAGTGAAATAAATCAGACACACAGCCTTAAATACCACATGGTTTCTCTTGTAAGAGAAACCCACAATACAAATAAAGAGCAAATCATAAGACAGATAATAGGAGGCGGGGAGATAGATCTTTCTCAAATGGGAAGAGGATCAAGAGATGGAGGGGGTGGGGGATGGAAGAGGATGGAAGGGAATAAAAAAAAAGAACTAAGATGTGTTATACCCATGTGCCAGCTCCCGCAGGGAGTGTATTCATTAGATACTGAAAACCTGTACTAATAAAAAAACAAAAATAAAATGGTTCTGTAATATACATGAATGAGAAAAACATTGGAAAATGCTCCACAGCCAGAATTAGCTTTCTCTTCTGGGTCCCTGGGTACCGTGGATCCTGGTCCATGCTGGCCCCCATGATGGAGAGCAGGGGCGACTGACTGAGCAGTGCGTTTGCTGCTGTGTTTGTGAATTGAAGCTCCAGGGCCTCCCACTTGCAGGACTCAGACAGTGTGTTCATGTGGATGATGTATATCTTGTGCAATTTGCAAAAGTAATTTTATATTCTTTTTCTTAAAGAAGGCCTATGAAATGTAATAAAGTTCAGGCTTCGCAAATGCTGGCTCTGCTTCTTTCTGTGATGAAGGTTGTTTGGATTGTAAGATGGAGGGGCCCACTCAGATTCTGACACACAGACTTACAGGCCATGGATGGGAAGAACCAGCCCCAGGGGCCCTGCAGACTTACCTGGACCCAGAAGTCAGATTCTGCCTCTCTCAGGGCCCCATCCCTTTGTTCCTGTGTATTTGTTTCCTTCACTGCCCTTTTTCTTCTGACTGGCTGCCTCCCTCTGTGCATCATTCCTCTCCCTCATCATTTCTCTTTAATCACCTTGTGTTCCCCCCTGTGGACTGTAGCCTGTGTGTGGCTCACTGGTCTGCTTGGCTTCTCTCCACAGTCCTCTTCCATTCTGTTCCTTTCACTCACTGAGCCGTTCTCTTCATGACTCCCTGTTCCAACTCCCACCAGAGACAAGCTGATGGGCCAACCTTTCTGTTCCATTGAATCTCAGCAGAGGTCTCTGGGCGGGCCATAGGTTCACCCTTCGGTCAGGCCACCCCCAGTGGAAGGCATTGAGGTGACCCAGGGGTCAGGCCCAATGGGCCTTAAGGGGGTTCCAAAGAAAAGAAATGCTTTCCTGCTCTGGACAAAGAAACAAGACATTTTTCCTCATCCTAAGATTAAAAGAGATGAATGACAGATTCCACAAATGATCAGAGCAGGAGGGAAACAGCTGGTAGCAAGAGACTGAGGAGTGGAACTAGAGTTGAACCTCAAAAGAAAGAGTGGGAGGAAAAATAATTCAATTACATTCACATAGCAAGCATTTAGCCAGTGTCTTGACTACCTGCTATGTGCAGGGCACTGCATTGGCGTGGGGCAGATAGAAACAGAGTGTGCACGTGACAAAGGAACTTTCAAACCAGTCCCCCTGGGCGAGGGGGAGCAGTGGGGAGGCTCACTCTGAGCCGAGAGACTCTCAGTGAGAAGCCCCCAGCGGCTGGGTGTTGGAGACTCAGTTGGGCATTGCTAGAGCAGGGAGTGGGTATCCCACAGATATGACTACAGGATCCTTCAGTCTGGTGACTGAATAATGAGAATCATGGATCACATTGTCCTACATGGTTAATATAGGAAAAGAAGCAAATCTAAGGAACTAGATTAAAGGTCAGCAACTTCTTAGTAAAGGACCAGATAGTAAATATTTTTAGGCAGTGCAAGCCATAACTCCTTAACTCAGCCATTGTAGTACAAGAACAGCATGATTAATACATAAATGAATGGCCATGGCAGTGTTCCAATCAAACTTTAATTATGAAAGCAGACAGTGGGCCAGATCTAGCTCATGGCTGATCTCTGGAATAGATCAAATTAACCAACACATTGAATTTCAGGTGCCACTTCATGTAGGATATCAAAGAAACGAAGATTTGCAGCTCAGAAGAAACAGTAGAGTTGGGTATTGTGGTGCATACATGTAATCCTAGCACTCCAGAGGCTGAGGCAGGAGGATCACCACAAGTTCAAGGCCAGCTGGGCTATATAAAAAGATCCTGTCTTTAAAAATAAAGAGGAAGAGGAAGAAAGAAGAAGAAACAATAGTAGTCTGCATTTTATATCTTCTCATTCATTCATGGGGAGGGAGCAGTGGTTTCCAAAAGATTGAACTATTTGCAGAAATAAACAATCCAGATGCAGAGTGGCCAAACTGAAAAATCAATTTATAAATAACTTAAAAGTCTAATTCCTGTGGAGTTTGCCTCATTATTTTGATTCAATTTGGAACTGAAATCCCACAAACATCTTCTTAAACTTTCTCCTTGATAGCTGGAATTTAATAAGTGCCAGCCATGGGCTCTACACATTTTATGAATTGTCTCTGTGTCTGTAGCTGAAGAAACTGAGATCTTAGAGCTTGGAACCCACACCAAACCACAGAGCTAGAAAGGGGCAGAATCAGAATTTATACTGAGCCTGACTCCAGGCGAGAGCTCTCTGCCTCAGAAAGTCGCTAAGTCAGGATGAAAGACATCCAGCTCTTGTGTTAAAGTCAGCCTGGGACATTCCAAGTGTGTTTTCTTTCCCCCCATTTGGCCCAAATTTTATGTTCCCATCCTCTGTCATTGTACATGCTGCCTGTTGATGTGGTTGAGCTTCACAATTCAGTGATTCTACCCATTAGAGTGCAAGCTTAGTCACTTAAGGTTTTCATGGTCTCTCACTATTTAGCCCTTTGCTGTGAGCTACAGTTACATCATTTATATAAAAACTGTCAGCCAGCATTATTATTTTGCATTCATCAAGACTGTTAAGAAGATGAGCACATTCATCAAAGATAGGATATGAAATTGGAATTTAAGGTTTTATTAAATAACTACTAGTGTGTGGAATATCTAACCAGCTAGATTCCCGAATCATGTGGCTGTTAAGCTATTTTTAGCAACATTCCTAAGAAACATCCTATGAAAAGGATGATGAAAATTGTATAATAAGCAATCGGGGAGAGCCGGAAGGTGGAGGTATTTATGTTCTGAAATGTGGCACAGGTAAGCACAACTTAATGAAAAGTTCTCTCAGTGCTTCTCAAAATTAGTAACTTCTGTGAACTTTTGGTTTTTGTGTTTTTTAGAAAATTCCTGGGAAGTTTAAGAAACTTTTCTCTGAGCTTGAAAGTTTAACAGTAAGTAGTTGGACTAAAGATGACTTATTCTTCTAATTAATCTCCTAGATTATGATGGTCAGTTTCTGCACTCCATGATGTCAAGTAGCTTAGACTAGTTTGCTTGCATATGAAAAATGTAGCTTTGCTTCTTAAGGAATGAGGCAAGATGACAGTTAATGAATGCTTCTTCCTCTCCCTCTACAAAGGTGATAAGCATAGCCCTTGTAGTATGATTTTTCAGAAGGCAAATTTTTAAGCATATTCCAATCCAAAGAATACAAAACTTAGTATGTAATTAGTGTTGTATGCATTACTTTTTTCCTCGTTTTCCCTTTGTCTTAGGTTTAATTACAGAGTGTATAGTTTCATTTTAGAACACAATAAAACAGTGGTCTCTTGTTTTCTCTGCTCTGTCTGTGCATGAAGAGGGTCGTTTTTCTCTGCAGTGTACCTAACAAAAGACCAAGGTTACCTCGTGATGGAAATTATGCAGAGGAAACTGTACTTAAAGAACCTATTTGAAGAAAATAATAGGGCAATCAAAAGGTGTCTCTCTTTTGCAGTCATTTCCCTTTATTGTAAACCAGTAACTTCAGTTTCATTCATTGCCTAGATTTCCTGCCCTAATTTAGTGAGTTTACTCTCCTAGGAAACCTTTTATCTACTTCGTTCTTAGGAAGAACCTCTCTATATCTAAATCATATTCAAATTGTATAAGAAAAGTAGATGGAGAATTGTTTCTATCGCACATTGATTTTTCTTCCTCTGTGTAATCTGCTTGCTTCGGCAGGATCCTTCCTTAAATCACAAAGCCTACAGAGATGCATTCAAAAAGATGAAGCCGCCAAAAATCCCTTTCATGCCCTTATTGCTTAAAGGTAACAATTTTCTATCTTTTATGCTATGTAATTCCATCATCCAGAAATTTATCATTCTAACTATTGAAGGCACAAAAGGAATCCTCAGTATATTGCATTGCAGTCATTTTGACATTCAGACTTGTTTACTTTTGATAGTTTTTGGAATATTCAATTATTTTTAAATACCTAGAATGCTTAATTGTGCTTGAACAAATGTCTAAGCATTTTATACTTGACTCATTAAACTTGACTTTCATATTTTCTTTCTTGTTGCTTCTAATTCCTGTATTATTTTCTTTTGAGTCTGTGATGTAGTTAATTCAAACAAGAATAAGGCTGGCATAAAAAACCCAAATGGTGATAGGCTATGCTCAAGAGACACAACCCACAGTGTACTGTCAAGTGAGACATCCCTTTGGTCAACACAAGCAGCATAATGCATGGAAACCATTAGTAGTGTACTTCCTGTTTCCGAGGCATGGGGTTCATTTGGGAAAGTATTGGAAAGCTCTACATTAGACCGCTGAGCTCTCTTCTGTAGATCACCGCATAAGTCAGCATGAAACCTGTCAGTGAAACTGACTGCTATCTCAGTCATCTCTCTTTCAAACAAGGACATTGATGAAAAAGAGCTCTCTGGAATCTGGCCTATTCCTAGCATTCTGTGTATATCTTCACCTGTGTGCTTCCTAGGGAACGAGAACTGGGGAATTTTTCCTGACTGTATTTTAATTCTTTCAAGGAATTTTATAGGAATATTCCTTCATCCAGCCTCTGTCCTCAGAGGTAGCTTCTGCTGGGTCAGGCCCTTCTGGAAAGGAGTTGCCTGAGAACTGCACTGCTGACTGGCCTGGCCCCCCTCATCCCCTCCTCCCCCCACTGCCACCCCACAGGCAGTCAACTGGCATTGCCTCTCCTGCTGCTCTCAAGAACCACCAGAGTCTGGAGAGTTGTTCTGATTTGCTGGGCATCCCCGCAGCCACTCATTTAGTCTTCATCTAGCATGAAGCCAGAGTCCCTGTGAAACACAAATGTAATAGCAGGACAATTGAGAGATGTACAGACTGCTTCACTCAAGCTGAAAAGATTCTATTAAATATAAATGGGTGAAATAAGGGGAGATTGCGATGCCAAAATAACAATTTAGAAGTTCATTTGATTGAGTTTTCTTTTCTTCACTTACTTGCTTTTAAGATAAGTTTATTCAGGCTCCTGCTTTTTATTTGCAAAATAAAATGACTTGCAACAGTAAATACTTTTAAGGTTATGAGAAATTAGTGGATAGTGTCCCTTAACTTAATTAGAGAGCAGAGCTTTCTGCTCTACATTAATAGTTCTTCACCCAAAATGTTCAGTGCACTGAAGTGTCTCGTGCATCTTAGCTGGATGCAATTTTCTGCTCTGCTGAGTTTATCTAGACCTTTTTGTTGGCAGCTAAACAAATTTGCCTTTTTTCTACTGAAATACATTCACTCATTGCAAAAGAACAGGAAGTAAATTAAACATTTTTCTTTTCATTACAAGCCTTCTTGAGTTTAAATAAGCACTGTTTTTCCTTTATCTTAATTTTTATTATTATAAAAATTAAACAATGTCAGGTTCATTCTTTACTGAAAGGTATCATTTTTGTTGAAAATCATTTCCAAAGCCAAATAGTATGAAAATTTTAAATAAATATAGATAGATAATCATGCCTGAGATGAAATATTATGGGGAAAATACACAACTATAATTCTTAGGTTTGATTTTTGGGATTTTTTGTGGTTTAGGGGGGTTGGTTTGGTTTGGTTTTTTGAGACAGATTCTCACTATATAGTTCAGGCTGGTCTTCAACTCACCATGTAGCCCAGGCTGGCCTCGAACTCAGGCAGTACTCCTGCCTCAGCCTCCTAAGTGCAGGGGTTATAGGCACATGCCACCATGCCTGACAACTCTTAGGGTTTTAAGTTGCAAAATTATTTTTAAAGTTGTAATGAACTATTTTAGAGCACCTAGCTGAATTTTTAATGAAACCTCTTGTTCCTGCCTCTTTTGTGCATTATATTTTGAGTTGCTTTTAATTAGAAAATAGGACCAAATTGAACTACTTTAGGGGTTTAGGAAGGACTAGGCCTCCTCTGTTTCGGCTATTGAAATAGTCAACCCCCAGTAAGCACATAGATCATCAAGTAAGTAGATTACCTGAGGATCCTTTAGCCGTCAGCTTTCCTCTTTCCCGGTTGAATTGTCCTGCTTTTTGATGTACTTTACCCCTGCTGTGGCATGGCATCAGTTCTGAAAGAGATTAATGAGAACCCCTAATCAGTGTTGGGAAAGCATCCTGGGAAGATGTGTGAGAGTAGCATGTGTGCACCCCGTGTGAGTGGTGGAGGCGGTGGTCCCTTGTATTAAGTGAAAGATCAAGAGGTGTTGGAGGAGTAGCTGTAATTCCTGTGGGATTGTTTATATCTTCAAGTGAAGACTGTTGTTGCCAATTTGTGGGGTGTTTGAAGGAAAAGAATGTCGTGTGTTACTTCCTCATTTTCCACTCGCCATCTAATCAGATAGTGTTCCTTCATCCCATAGTTCTGTTTTATGAGGGGTTTCAAGAATGCACATTATCTCCAGGTGAAAGGGGCCTTGCAAGTCACATCTCACAACTTAAATTTTCACATTTGAGTTTTGGGGGCCAAATGCCTGTTCCTTCTTGTTTTTCATTCCCTCCTCGTCACACACCTGCCATTTAATAGCATCAAAACCTTCAACCTCTTGAAACCCTTCTATTTCCTTGGATTGCGGCCTTCCAGCCCCCACTCTGCTCCCTGCTCAGGACCCCCCTCTGCACTTTCCCTGCCTCTTGCCCATGCTGGCCTCAGGTGGACAGGCCCCTGGGCTTCATAGAGTGCAGCTGTCCCATCTGCTGCCCTGGAGTCCCTGAGAGTTATTAAGAGGGAATTCCCAGGAAGAGAAGAGATTTCATGCAGGAGGGAATATGTACAGGGAGTGGTGAGGGAAACACTCAGTAACTTGGCTTTAGGTGGCAGTAAGAAAAGTCCAAGTCTTTTTTTTTTCCCCTTGTGGTGCTGGAGGTAAAACCCAGGGCCTTGAGCATGCAGGGCAAGGCCTTCACCTCTGAGCTGCATCTCCTGCCTGGTTCAGGTCCTTTCACTTGAGGTGCCTCAAGAGGCCCCCAGGGGAGGAAGTCCCAGCCTCCCTGGGTTTGAATCCTGGCTCTGGCACTTGTAGCTGGGAGCATGGCTCAGCTGTGGACATCCTTTGTACCCAGATTCTTCACATGCTCCCCTTGTAGAGTTTTATGTTATGGTGTTTTGTGAGGAGGAAGTGTGTTAATCCAGGTAAAGCACTTCAAATTGTGTCTCGCATTACCGTCACCATCCTCATCATTACCTATAGAAATGTAGGAGAGCAGTGAAGGTGACAACCTTATAACCCTGGGGAAAAGGCTCAGGCGGCTCTGGTGACATCTGTCACTCCGGGAGGAAGTCGAGGCCCAGTGTCCAAGGTGTTTAGTGTAGACAGAGTGAGCACAGTTTGATTGGCTGTGCATAGAAGGTAAAAGCCAACTCTTTTGACCACTGTTATAAATACCATCATGGAATAAAAGCTTACAATTATTTGCAAAATTGCAGAAGATAATAAAATAACTAGTTTGTTAGAAGACTATTTCACTAATTGTGAATCATTTTTTTTAAAAGAAAAAGATATGAAGAGAAGCTCATGAAAACATTACAGGCCATACTGGAAGCTGTGTACGAGGGATGTCGTGGGACAGGGTTGTACCATGCTCAGAGCTCAGTGCTCCAGGCTTTTGGGGGCAGGTTTCAGGAGCACCTGTCTCTTAATGTCTTCTGTGGATCCGCAAGATAAAAGTCTTCATGAAAATATGATCTCTTTCTATTTATAAGAGTTTTAAAGCTGTTGAATTCCCTCTTTTCTAACAGATTATTTTCATGAGATTTTTGAAAATAACTTTAATTTGGTTGACCTTCCATGTTTATGATACAACATGAGTACTTGTGTGTCCTTTAATTTGTAGTGTGTTTCTTATTGTGATCCTTGTCTTCGGGGATTTCCTCATGCTCAGGATGGATCCTCTGATCTCAGTGTGTTCTCAGAGCTTCAGACGCTCTTTAATGTGTCTGATTCCTGAATCTGTGTCTTTCTTGTTTGTTTTTTCTGGCGATACTGGAGATTGAACCTCAGGAGGGCTGAGCAGGTGCCCTACCATTGAGCTGCACCTCCTGCTCCTTAGTCACTTAAATCTAGTGAGACTCGAGTCAAATTTAACTTCCCTTCCTCAAAATGTACTTTCATTCCCCTTTCCTTGTTTTATTTTCATCATTGGTGCTTTCTTTCTCCCCAGTCAGATGGGGCCAAAAATCTTGACATTTTCAAACCTGGCCCTTTCATTTACTTTTCTATTTTTAATGATACTGGAGCTGAAACCCAGGGCCCCACATCTGGTAGGCAAGTGCTCTGCCACTGAAAGACATTCCAGCCCCTCACTCACAACACAGGTACTGGCTTGGGGAACCAGAGATTTAAATTGAAACATCCAAATCTGAATCGTAAGTGTTTTACGTAAAGCAAGTCTCATAAACTTTGTCAGTATTTTTTTGGAAAAGCAAACAAAAATATTAAGAATCCTGTTGTTTGTAGGCATTCATTTATTTTCTGCTCAGTCCTCTGACTTAAAAATATAATAGACAAAATAAGTGACAAAATAGTACGAACTTTTGTAAAGTGGATTAAACACTTCTCTGTAAGTGCAGAATTATTCTTTCAATAATGTTACACAGTTCCCTCCACCCCTTTCCTGCACAAATCATGCATTTTCCCGTTTAGATAGTATGGTTTCAAGTTGCCTTACCAAATGCGTGGAATAATTTCTGTAATATTTAAGGAAAATTCATGAATTGGATTGTTTCTAGACTTCTTTAGCCTTATCACATGATCCATTCCTAATGATACATATATCTTTGCTTTTGATTTCCAGATGTAACATTTATTCATGAAGGAAATAAAACATTTTTGGATAATCTTGTCAATTTTGAAAAACTGGTATGTAAATTTCACTATTTCTCCTTTTTCTCACTGAAAAGAAAATGTATGCTTATCTTTCCTGCTCCACCAAACTAATGGTATAACCCTTTGTCTCCATTGAACCTGAGCTTACGGGCTGCATGTTATTCATTGTCAATACACAGTGTTTCCCAATTAAAAATAAGTGTGCTAGCAAGGGTTTGAGAACCAACCAAATATGGAAATGTGCTTTTCATTTTTAAAAATGACACTTCATGAGGTTAACATCAGTGTTTCAGTGTGCTTTATGGAACCAGAAATAAAAATGTAGGGCTCCTGTCAGGAGTTTCTAGTCACCAGCTGAGCCTTGCTGCGGTAGAGGCATCTCCTGGTGCTTCAGTGTGCACTGCTTTTGAGCCACTGGCAAGAAAATCCTCCTGGGGAGACGTGTCAGCTCCCCAGTACCCCAGGCTTGGATATGAGCCTTGGATTCCTGGATCTGCATGTGAGGGGAAGGGCTACCCCATTACTAGCACCTGACACAGGGTCTCCTTACTCATGAGTGGGGGTCTCCAGTCAGTCCTCTGCTACATGTTCCTGAAACGCTTCCTCCTAAGTGACCTCCAAGACATTCCCAGCACTTTGTCTTGCAGTGGTCAGAGGAGGGTTTACCTGTGAGAACGGGGCAGTCGTGATATAGGAGCACACCAGAGAGACACACTGATAACCAGGGGAGTGGATTTATCTGACAGATGAACTTTAGTGTCATAGATTAAACGTTCTGTTGTGGGTAAGGATGCTCCTGGTAACCCTTCTCCAGGGATCCTGACCTTTGAGGACCTTTTCAGTAATGGTGATGGACTTGTGTGAACTCCTTCAGCAGCTGACCCCTGCTCCCTGTGAGACTGGCCCAGGCCTTTGAGAGAAGGTTGATTGAGCCAGGGGCCACAGACCATGACCAAAGAACACACTAGGCTGACGTGTACCCCTGAGGGCTGGCGTCTGGCCTTTGCCCCTGAGTGCTCTGCTCTCATCATCTGGTCAGCCCACCACATAGGACATCAGCCAGGACAGCATGGTGGGCTTGTGCACTGCTCTGCAAACACACCCAGCTGGAATCTGACAGACATCTTTGCACAACTTTTCCCATCACAGCTCTCTTTAAACCACTCGTGGCTTAAACCACAATCCCTTCATGGCTAGTTATTTTTGAAATGGAAATGTCGATAACATTTTCAAGTCTCTGCGCTGCCTTAGAGTCAGAGCTCACTTGTTTTAAATGCTGCAGTCAAACCAGCGCAGCCAGAAATGGCTCAGGTGTTCCTTTTTTGTGTGTTGCTGTGTGATCTGAAGATCACAAAGTACCTGTTAGCAACCAAAGTCTGGAGTCACTAGAATTCTCATCTCCAAGCAGGTTAAGCTCTAGTGTTTGCTGCAAATGAAATGATTGCAGTAATATGAAGCTTCTGATCAATACGTACTTTGCCTGCTGGCCAACACATCAGGTTAATCACACCAAATGAGCTCTGTGCGGCTTGTATGACAGTGTTCAGTGAGGTTGTCACACCAAGTGGTATTTCCCAAGAAGGTCTAGTCATTTTTGCCCCCTGACCCAGAAGGAACACGGGAAAGCAACTGTACTTTTTATAGGTCACTGCTACCTATTTTAAGAGCAGATTGGTGGCTGAACTTCTCCCTCACGTGACCCAGGGCTTTGAAGATCATTGTATCATTCCCTTCAGATGATGTCACCAAAGTGAGAGAACAATTCCAAAGTGAGAGGCCCAAATGAGAAAGAGCTATGAGAAGATTTCCTTCATCTTTCCTATACTCTTTCTCACCACAGCTTATGGTCTTTTCTGCTTTCTACAACAATCCATCAAAAGCCTTTTAATGCCAGCTTTCATGTGCTAAGACCTCACCTCACAACAGGGATTAAAACAAAGTCTTGATGATACTGATTCCATTAGGTTCCATAATTGTGTCCTTAATTCTTAAGGAAAGTTTAAGGAAATAGCATGGGATAAGTAATATTTTATTTAAAATTCCTAAAAATAATTTTTGAAAAGGAACAGGAAAATGGGCACAATTGTGGATGCACACAGCAGGTCCATAGGACATACACGCTACCGTCAGGAAGTTGCTGGCACATCTTTTATAACAAGAGCAGATTTTGTGGTACCAGTGAGCTCCAGGTCCTCAAATCAGATAGCACTTCAGACTCTGCATGCCTCAGGCTAACCCCTCCTTACATGCAGAAGACAGGATGAAATTGGAATTTTTTCAAAAAGGACAAAAATCAACTTCATGTCATACCTAGACCTATGGTACACATGGCTGCTGGAGAGAGAGACTGTCCTTTCTAGTAGATGCAGTATTTTTAAGGAATGTCTCTTAGCAAAGGACATGGTTTTGCTGAAGCTAAAACAGGATCATCTTTCACAATAATGAACCAATAGAATCTAAGTGAATTAACTTGTAAGAAGCCAATTCCTCATGATGGATATTAACTTAAGCCAGCTAGCAGATAATTCAGTGTATTAGCTTTATCTGGCTGACACAGGCCAACACATTACATCAGACCACATGCAGATCTAGAAGTGCTCATTGAGTCTAATAAGATTTCTATTGTTCCCTGGCTAAGTTCCTTGCTGCCTCAGCAACTCTAAATGTTTCTATCTCCAACTATTATATGATGAAGAAATAAAGGGTTTCTCCTTTTTATCTCATCCCTCAGTATTATGAGTATCCTCTTTTACCATAGCTCCCTCCCTCCCCCTTCATAAAGGCTAAAGATGAGAATCAGGACTCAGATTTCAATGCTACATTAGATACCAAGCCTTACATCAGCTCGAGCCTTGCATGAGCTGTGCAAATGCACATGATAGAAATCAATATGACTCCATGGCTTAAAACGAGAAAACTGTCCTGGGAATAGGGGTAAAATTTGGGGAAGCAAATTTAACAATGCATTTATACAGACATGAGTCAGGTCTCATTTCCTTTGCAAATGCCATTTGAGCTGCTGTTCTAATCATTGTCCCATTTAATTTTCCACTATTGAGTGGAAGTACTTTAGCAGTACAGTTCTCAGAACAATTTAATCTGTAGGTCACATTCAAATAACATTTCTGTCATTCTGCTGGATTTTGAGTGAGAAATTCTTTAGTGTGAACATTATACTTTCAGCAGCAGTTCATTCAAGGGATGGCTGTGTGTGGGTAATCTGTGTTCAGTGTGTGCAGGACATGAAAGATGCGAGCCACTTGAGGGGTTTGGAGGGCCAGACAGTAAGTGATGTCGATTCTGGAATAACAGTATGATGTTTGGATTTCGATAGGAAACAAAGTAAGGAGTCACTGCAGATTCTCCTGAGGACGACCCCAGTATTTAGAGATTATTCTGGCACCTGTGTAGATGGACCTGTAATAGAGGATGGTCTTTTCCAAAACACTGTGTTTTCATTATGGAAAACTGGGCCGGGGATTTAGCTCAGTGGTGCCACTGCCTGACTCATAAGCGCAAGGTCCCAAGTTCAATCCCCGGTACCAAAAAAAAAAAAAGAAGAAGAACACTAAAAATGGCTGAGACAGGTAGAAAACAATTGCAGGTACTGAAGTAGGAGGTGGTAGAATCTTATTAAAGCAGATGCAAATTATGGAAGACTTTTGCCTGGAGATCAGTAAAGACTTTAAAGAAAGAAAATACTGAAGGCATTAAGAGGGATATAAAGTATAAACAAATGTACATGGTAAAGATGTTGATGTTATAGAAAATGTTCATCTTTCACAAGTACCTCAATTTCTGCCACCACTTGAGCCTTTTAGTGTGTAAAACCTCCTAACCCCGTGCAGCACATCTGAGTCTGTATTCGCAACACATGGTAGCTGCTGGGCATGCACACCCCTCTAGTGGTACCTGGTGGAGAGAAGAAAACCAACAGCAGTGATAGTGACACAAGCCCAGTACACACTGTACAGAGAACCATGAGTGTGGTGAGAATAAACTTCCCAAGGCCAGAAAGGAGATCCCAGAAAGGCTTCATTTCTTTACAATGTGTTTTCCCACAGTGGATCTGTACAGTTTGGGAGCCACCACTTTTGCAGACGATGACTAAAATATTATCTGTAATTCAAGTGCAACAGAATAATTCAAATGTTGTTCTCTCCAAGTATAGCACATCCGCTTACACCCAACTTTGGTGTTAGACTATCCATCCATGGCCTTAGACTCTCCATCCATCACAGCAGCCACTTCTGCTTCAGTAGTACCCTGAGTGACCCCTCCTCCCACTGATGTGTTTCCTTTGTTACCTGGCAGCACATGATTGCAGACACTGTGCGAACCCTGAGACACTGCAGGACTAACCAGTTTGGTGAGTAATTGAAGTCAAGTGTGGAGTGTAAATTGACTGCATATTGGTCCCGACTGTGACCATGTCACAAGTATTTGCTGGTGATAAATTTAAACAGCTTATAAAGAATAATATGTATATATGTTTGCATATTGTATGCATATTCTAGATCCTCACTTTGTTTCCTCACTGGCATGTTTGGGATTGGAGAAAGGGTGGGGCAAATCATTATTCCCTCATGGAAGCAAGTTTACCCTGTCCAGAGGGACTTAATACAGTCAGAGGCTCCTCCCTGCTTTGCTTCCCCTGTACCTTAGAATGAGCTGGTGAGGTTAGCAGGGTGACCCTGGCCCTGACCTCTTTACTTGGGGCCTCACTGGAATAGGGCTCTAGTCTGTAAAAGTGCCTAAAGCAGCATTCTCAATCTCTTTTCCTCTCCACCAAAACCCTCCTGTCTAGAGCTGCCTTTCAGCTGAAAATGTGTTTTTCTGAGTACATTTTTAGGGTCCCCACTGAGACTATATATGTAGGAATATTTGTTCCGTTGGAAATCTCAGGCAGGCATCACTCACAATGTGTTTAAATGGTGTTGGTGCTTTGCAGGAAGGAAGGAAATCAACTTTGCTGAGTTGAAGGAGCCTTCCCATGGGCAGGAACTGTGAGACCAGTCCTAGTGAGTGTTAACCCTGCAGGTGCAGGACAGAAAGCAGGTTGTAGAGGCTAACTCCTCAGCCACTGCTCAAACCAAGACTATCTGACTTTCTTGCCCTTTGCTTCACTCTGGGCAGATTATATAAATATAAAAGGCACAAATATAAAATTTTAACAGTAAGTACAACAGTGTATATAGAAAATCAAAGTCCCACCTCCCAAGGAAAGTACTACTGTACAAACTATTTGGTACATGTTCTTTTTATTTTTGAGGGGAAGAGATTGTTTTTTCTGAGACAGGTCTTACTTTGTGGTCCTGGCCTTGAACTCACTATATAGCCCAGACTGGCCTCCAACTGGCAGCAGTTTTCCTGCCTCAGCCTCCCAAATCCTGGAATTATATGCATGAGTCACCCTGTGCCCAGCTAGTACACTTTTCAAATAATTTTTCTTCTATACAGTGCTGCTCTTGGCTGGCGATACTGTCTTCCCAAAAAGCAAATTAGGAACTGAACTTTTCTATGTACTAATTATTTTTTCAAAAGGAAAATTGTAAACACCAACTAATTTTTCTACATAGTCACATCAATTTAATATCATTGGATATATACTTATAGAACTCTTCGTTATACATGTACATTGCAGTTATGGTAGAAACAGTAATAATGACATCATTATAGAAATTCATCCTAATGTACAAGCCAGTTGTTGATGAGTATGGCTTCATAGTTCTTTTATCTTTCTTTGGATATTTAGCTAATTCTAAGACATAGACCCTCATTTATCAAGAGGTGCTAGTTTATATATGCTCCCACTATGGACATGAAGGTTACCCTGGCTTGGCAGGCCCTGAACCTCCCACCCATCTCCCACTGCACTCTGTATAGCACTAGACAAAGGAGACATTTATTATAGGTGGTGCACACCTCTAGTCTCAGCACTTGGGAGGCTGAGGCAGAAGCATTGCTGTGAGTTCAAGGCCAGCCTGGGCTACATAGTGAGTTCAAGGCCAGCCTAAACTGTATAGAGAGACCCTGTCTCAAAAAAACCAAATAAATAGGGCCGGAGATTTAGCTCAGAGGTTCTGCCGCCTGCCTCGCAAGAGCAAGGGCCCGAGTTCGATCCCCAGTACCAAAAAAAAGTAATAAAAATAAGTAAATAAATAATGACCGTCAAGCCAATTTATGTTCAGATATTTATGTACCTTAAAAACTGGGTTGGAATTGAATTATCTGAGTTTATTTTAACAGTTTATCCAGGCTAGTAAACCAGTGTCAACATTTGAGTTAAAATTATGTAATGTTAATCAAGTCAGTTACAAATTATAAAGTGCCACAGAAGTGTCAGTTGTCATGGTTGGGAACTTTCATTCTACCATCCTTTTTTTTCTTTTTTCATTTTTTAAATTTATTGATACATTTTAGATATACATAATAATATTCATCATAGGGAATTTGTACCTGTACGTGACATACCTTGCTTCTTTTTTTCCCATTCCCCTTCCCTCCCTTCAACCCCTCTTCCCCGCCTTGTTTACAACAGCTTTGTTTCTTCTACCATCTTTTTAAGACATAAACTAACAGCAATTTTATCTTTATAGCATCTTGTTTTCCAAACTAAAGTGTACTAAACCAAAAAACAGCTTCTCAGTATCTTTCAGCCCACAGTATTCTAGAATAATACAGTTTGCTTGTGTTTTTGCTTCCATTCAACTACTATACTGGCCTCGCCCTTTGCCCACATACTTGATCTCTGGCTTCTTATCAGACTTGTCACCAGCACAGCACGTATGTGTTCACATCACACGAACACCCCCTGTTGCCTCTCCATTCTTTGACTGCCCTGGATCTGTGTGTGGAAAGATCCCTTGCCTCGTCCTTGTGGGGGCAGACTTCAGCCCATGCACTTACTTTCTGTTCCCCCTCTGCCTATTAACCGTCCCTTAGGTTTGGTTCTGTGGTATCTGTTCATTCGGTTATTTGTTAAATCTTTTTTTTTTTCTCAAAAAAATAAGGATACCAGGGAAGTATACAAAATCTAAAAAAAAGAAAAGGGAGAAGGAATGGCTGTTGTGTTCCTATGCTAAATAGATTGCCTGATTCCTGAAAATTCAAGACTGCACGAGCCAGTGCAGGCCATTCAAATGGGCAGTTGCTATGAAAGACTGCACAATTCAGGAGCTCAAACTGTGGACTCAGAAAACATAGGATCTAGGTTCAAATCCTGCCTGTGTTACTTGTGTGACTGCTCACTGTCTCCACCTGTGGAGAGAGACAGTAGCATGACGTCTGAATAGTATATACTGCTAAGTGAGAAGTGCTGTCAGTACCTTACTGGCTGACTCCCCAGCCCTAGGAACCTCGCTTGAGGCATTCTTACTCTTAGACAAGGACTCTGCTTCCAGGATTCCAACTACTGAGACAGGGTTTCCTGGATTGCTCTCATGAGATTGATTTTTGGTGTTTCCTCTAAAATATTAATAGGAGGTGACATGTCTCCAAAGGAGCATCAGGAGCTGAAGTCCTACGTTACCCACCTGTATGTCATCGACAGCCAGCAGGCCCTGTTCGAGCTCTCCCACAGGCTCGAGCCTCGGGCCTGAGCCACTACCCACCTCCTGTGACTGCTGTACTTTGAGCCACGGGAAGGTCTCTGCCCAGTACATTGCTTCCTATGAGAAAAGAAGTTGCTGAGTTTTATCAGTACATCGCAAGACGTGCACAGGAAAGGCAGCCTGAGTGTGTTCAGGAAGTGATATCAGCCACCAGGGATGGGAGAGGCCCCTCCACGATGCTCTTGGAGCGAGAAGGCAGAAAGAGCCAGCAGCATTCTTGGAACAGAGAGGCCTGGTTTCTTATCGTCATGTTGTTGATCCTGTCCAGGTTTCAATTAGAGATGTGCCAGCATTGACAGGAGAAAGCAGCTTGACACACAACGAACTGATGTTCCAGTATGAGTGTGCCTGCAGGAGGAAGACAGATTACCGCCTTGAGGCCATCAGAGGACTGTGAATGCCCAGAGACACATATCTTTGGGCAAGGGGAGCTCTCTCTCCATCCAAACTGTCACCACAATGGCCATGTGAATCTCGGGAGTTGAGGACTAGCAACTGAGTCTTGCTTCACTGTGAGGATGTAAAATGTCAAGGCACACACCTCTTTGCATCCACAATCACTTTCTTACGATGTATGCTTGCGGGTAAAGTTAGCATCTGTACAACTGATATGCCTCTATAGGCAAAGTAGACATAGCTGCTTTGCCAGTAAGGAAAAATAGTAGTCTTTAAGCAGTCAACTCATTGTTTAATTCCTGGGGATTTTCTTTTATGTTTGTAACTGGGCTCTTGTTTTTCACTGGGCATAATATGATTTTCTGTAAAGGCACAGTGCCTAATACATTGCAGGCCTTCAGAAACAGCTTGTGGAGGTGAGAATCACAGATCTCTGTGTTCTGTGTCTGATGAAGCCAGATGGAGTGAGAACACCCGGGTGAGGGAGAGAGATTGCATGTGTGAAGCGCTTAGCACTAACAAGCCCAAGGTCATAGGATCGTGGGGATTACCAATCTTGGGACAAGTGAAATGTGCCCAGAAATATCCAGACATCTGACTTATGTTGGAGACTTAGGAGGCCTGTAGTCTGCTTCCCATGCAAAGCAGAAAGTCTTGCTGTAATTTACCTTTTTCCTTTTTTCCTCAAGTCTGTTTCTTTCTTATTCCCATTTTTACAAATCGAGCCTTCTGTAGCAAGTGAGACTTCATGCTCTTCTCGTGGACTGGTTAGAGGGTTTCCCTCAGCCCTCAGATGAACAGAAAAGGCTGTGGGTTAAAATAATCCAGTCCTTCCTGATAGCTAAATACTTGTCACTGGCTAAAATGCAAGGTCCTGCTCCTCGCTAAAATGCAGTCCTTCATTTTCTAACCATGTGAACCATGCTGTACTTCTCACCATTCCTGCTCATTGGTCTGGTGGGTAGGAACCAGTACAGACCTGTTTCCTTTTTGTCTCACCAGCACCGCACTCATCCTCCTTACTGAGGTGTATCCATTGCTCCTGACACCTTTCCAGCAGTGGTGTCCCTGGGCTCAGGGACCACAGGGAGCTGGAGACAGGGCTGGAATGAGCCATGTGGGGAATACTTCTGGTAGGACTTCCAGAGAGACTCCATCTGGCTCAGCGTACAAAACTTCATTCCTGAAAATGTATAGGGTTTTAGAGGAACGCTCCATCCACGGCTGGTCTACTCAGAAATGCTTCATACTGCTGGTAATAGAATGAGGCCTGCTGGAGGAGTGTAGAGCCATAGAATCAGGAAAGAGACTTTCCCGATGGCCAATCAAGCTCTCAGAAAGCCCTCCCCTTGGCAGTTACTGAGAATAGTGTAGGCTTACAGCACAAGCACCTGTGTGTGTCTTTTCTTCAAGCTAGTGATCAGGGTTGGACTGGTGCAATCACATAAGGCCATTTTGACATTGTCTCTGTTTTACAATTTGATTTATTTACATTAGATTCGCATTGCCTCAAGTAGAGCATTGCCTTTAAAGAACTGATTTTCAATGGAAATCTATTTCAGCTGAGCACGTGCTGCTCAGACCCCAGTTCAGATATGTACACTTGGCCACACAAAGCCACTTGTATGTTGTGCTTGAACACATTTTGAGTGATTCTTAGTGTGTGCTGCACTGCGTTGAGTGGACAGGGGCTGGGATAAAGTGGTGTTTGTCACCCTTTTGCTTTAGAGTAAAAGGAAGGGAGGATTTTGTTTGTTTTAGATTTGCTTTACCATCCTGTCTTCTGAACGTCTTAAAACCTTTCAGCTTTTCTGAAATTTAACAATGGGCAGAATTTTGCTACACAAAAAGCTCTTCCTGCGGACCCCCAGCTGTCTGTCAGTGAACAGGCCGCAGCAGGACCTGTGCAGGCCCTGCTGGTCGGGATGAGCCCATTCCTTCTCCAGATGCTCACCAAGGTCTCTTCAGAATCCGTTTTGTTCTGACTAGAAGGGTAGGCTGGACATGTCTAAGCCCTTTTCCCACTAGCCTTTGGAATTTTTATAGTTGCAGAAAATCTCCATCTCTTTGGAAAATCTTCACCAGAAGGGCTTGCACAGACGCTTCTACATGGGTTCTTTCTGTTACAGCACAATTATCCAACAGTTCTGGATGCGTTAACATCGCAGGAAGCCAGCCCTGCCTAGAAATTCGCTGGTGGTGGTAGAACACATTCCTGTCGACAAAATTGGACCTTTCCCTTTTTTCCCCCCCCACTTATGTACACATTTGCAGATGTTCCACAGACTACATGTTTTAAATTCTCTGTCATGGACTATATAATTGCCAAATGGTTTTAGTGAGGCATATTATAACCTACATTCACTTTTTTCTAGTATCCTTACTTATGTTTAGAATAAATTCATTTTGCTAGACCAATATCCTCAAGCAGATAGTATGGCACATACATTGAATTTAGAAGCATGAGAATAAAGTGAACACCTTACGTCTGTGTGGGAAAGAAACAGAAGCATGGGAGAGAAAATGTGGAGACGACTCTTGCTCCCTGGAGCTGGCCTTTCACTGCTGCCTGAATCTCAGCCCTCCCGTTTTGCCATGGCCAACACATGCACTGCAAAGCCAGAACTATATGGCACAACCAATCCAAGTTTCTCAGAAACTGGGCACAAATATTAAAATTTGGAAGACCAAGTCAACTATAGTTGTCCAACACAAGATTTCATCTAACTGCTTCAAAGACATGTTCTTAAAATTTTAGCCTGCTTGTTAGTGAGCAAGGCCAGGTCTGCTTCAGACTGGTAGAAGAAAAAAAGTTTTTAAAAATTGCCAAAAAGTTAGTTGAAAATGTACTACTGTATAAAGCAAAGCTGTATATACTAAACATTTTTTAGCAGAGTAATATTTATTTGCATAGCCTATTTATTGTATTCATATTATACTGTTATTAGAAGTTGATGACCAGAAGCAAGGACTCTTGCCTTTTAATGTACCATTGCTTAGGACTGCTGTGACATTGTCAGCTTGCATTAACCATTAGAAGATAGAAAACCCACAATCGGGGTGTCTACCTAACTTCTCAGGGACTACACTTCACAGTTTTCAACCATTGTAAGACCTGGTAAATATGAAACATTTGTTGAATTACCAGAATTGCCATTAACAGTGTTTCCTTTCTCATATTTCATGCTTTCTGCCTATGTATATATGGCTCTCCTGTATATTTATCAAAGCTAGTAAGCAATAATTTATATGTAAAAATGGCCAAGCAATATAAGGTTAAAACTTATATAAGTAACTGTTACTTTATCTTGTATTTTCCAGTGTTTTTAATTGCCTTTCCAAATACAAGACTATGTTAAAGATACTATTCATGCCTTGTCACTTCTTGCTTTTTCCATGATGCACTGAGCTAAACAGGCTGTGTCCCAGCAGTGTGTGACACCTGGGTTGGAACCCAAAAGTCATTTGCTCATGGATGAAGATGGTCTCAGGCAGCCACAGGAGCCTGAGCTCTCATCCCAGCACTGCATGATGGCCAGCCCCCAGCTCCCAGTGTTGGAAATGGCATCGGTACTCTCATTCTGGGATTTGGGCGAGTCCAACCAACCTCTGGCATCACTTTAGCCCACTTCAGTGGGGTCAGGAGCTAAGAGAAGTGCCAGCCCGGGCCAGGGGGGAAATACCTCGGGCCTCCATAGACCCCCTGAGGGTGATGGCTGGTGGTAGACAGAGTGGGAAAGCAGGGTGCTGATGAAGTTTGGGCAAGTGGTATATCACATCATTATTCAGAATCTTCTCTCTCCGTCCCTGTGGGCCAGTTATGCATCCTGCTCATCCAGGTCAAGCTGGCCTTTGGCATGTGGGATTCTCTCCCTGCAGGAAGATTGTATATTTTACCATCTTGAGCTCTGGAGTACCCACATGTCTCGCTCTATCTGGCAAAAAATGGAAATAATTAATCCATATAGCCTGTAGTCAAAGATTTACAAGGTAGCCTGTGCTTCCCATGCATGCCCTTCTAGGAACCATGCACTGTTCCAGGCAGAGGTATCACCACCAGCTTGTGACATGGAACAAAGGCAATGTGGAGCAAAGCTTTGGCATGGGAAAGGCTCAGAACTTGAGTGAGAAATAAACTTTCACCATTAGAAGGCATTGAGATTTGAGTTGCTTGTTACTCAGCAGAATTTGACCTAAGCTGACTAGTACAGTCTTCCAGGACACCTCTGTCCTTCAACCCCCATGCTGGCAATAGTACTGACTTTGTACAGTGACTGATGGGTAAAGCCACCTGTTGTCACATATCCATGCAAAAACTTCTCTTGTATGGGAAAAAGTAAAGATGAGTTGAAGTCAATTCTCTCAAGCTCTTAGTCACTAGGAAGTCGCACTTCTCTGAGACAGGAGACCACAGGGCAGTGCCTCTAAGACAGGCAGTGGAAGCAGTGAGAGGAGCTGCACTGGGCTTTCCATTTGTCTTGGTCCCATAGTCACCTCACTGTGGGGCTGATCCCAGAACCTGGTGCTGAGCAGAAGTGGAAAAGGGAAGCCCTGGGCCCCTTTACTAAGATAATACCAGATTTTCTTCATTTCCAACTGGAATACTTGGTTCTACTAAGATGAGAGAAGATCACATGAACCCAGAAGCCTCATCTTCAAATTAGCAAACCTCAAAATGAAACTTGTGGTCCTGGCCCTGATGCACTAGCTACAGAATTGGACTTCAGAGCACGAGGCTCCATATCAGGTCCCATACTTTGTCCAGGGTCTTCTGGATCCCCAGTGAGCAACTTGTGTATTTGCCTTGCACAAAATTACTTTGAACAAATGAGATTCCTGGAGCTTTAAGAATTTAGTGACATATACACAAAATTGCTTACATCCTTTAGTGACACATTTCTGTTAACTGAAGCAGCCCAAATTCCTTGTACTTCAGTAGAGAACCAGCGGCTCTCTTTCCATCGCAAGAGAGGAATGTGTTATTGGTGAGGCAAACAAGACAAGCAGCCAGGGACTGTGCTGGACACTCACTGAGACCCCATTCCCCACCCAGACTCAGAGCCGTGTCAAGTGCCATCCCTTGGCTTTGCTTCACTTATGGTGACCCCGCGTTTGCTGAGGAGGAACTCAGCCTACTGTTTGGCCACTCTGTGGCTTCTGATTACTTTTCCCTCACCTCGAACCTGGCGTCTTCCACCAGTGGCTTATGTTCCCTGTGGTTAGCTTTGCGAGCATTTCTGCCACAAGGTCACCACACTCCTCCCCGTGGTCATCCCAGAGGAAGCTCTACAGCCTCCTTCTGAGAGAACCGCTGCCCCTAGCCTGGAGTACTCCTAACATAGTACTTCCTTGGCCAGACTGAGCCAGGCCAGGGCACGAGTGGGAACCATTTCAAACTCTACCCCACCCCTTCCTGACCACACCATGTCACCACTTAGTTTCTGCTACAGCTACACCGTGTTGAAGATCTTAACTGTCTGAAATTCTCTCCTGAGAAGAGAACAAGCTCCTGGCATGGGTTTCGCAGTATCTCGGGGGGTTTCTCACATTCTAGATCTTCAGCATGGAGATGGGAAGGTGGAAATGCCAGGTGCCCCTATTTGCCTTTTCTTCTCCAGGAAGACCCTGGAAGGCAGCCCCAACCTCGATGGTACCTTGCCTAAAGCCACTTCTACAGATGTTGAGCAGTCCTCTACAGAAGACCCAGCCTGTCCAATCCCTACCCACAGATATCTGTCAGCTCCCAAGTTGTCCTCATGGTTAGAGTCTACAGTTGCTAGCTAGAGCTTGAATGAAAACAATCATCTTTGGAGAAAAATCCCTGCAATAATCACCTTGTTCTTAGAGTCCAGCCCAAAACCAACAACAACAGCAAAATGAAACGGAGAGATCGAAGTCTAGAAAGCAGTCAGCCTACATCGAAGCAGTGGCAAGAACTCCTGACATTCTGCAGCAACAGTGGTTCTCAAGACCCTTTCTCAGGGCATCATGGTAACATGAGTAGTATCACCATCCAGTCAAGTCCCAAACTTCAGTCTTCACTCCTCACCTCCAGTACTCCTTGCTCACTGAGCCCTCCACCAGCTGCGCTGCTTCATTCTCCACTTAACTGTATAACCTCAGCCTGCTGCTAGCCATTACTCCAGTCATTACTGTAACCTGCCTAATCTTCCTCCTCCTAGTCTGAATTCCCCCCAGTACAGCATCCAAACTGCCTTCAAAGTAATTTATATTCCCAAAACAAATCTCATTATGTTTCTCCCCAGCTCAAAATCCTTCAGTAGCACCTGCTAGGCTGTGGGAGAAAACCTCAATTTATGTAAATTCTCTATACTGTGGCCTCTACAAACTCATCCAAGGCCAAAGAGATCAGGCAGAGGTCCCTGGCAGACTAAAGACTTGTGGCCCCTTGAAACAGATACTCTACTCATGGGCATAAATTGATTCCAGCTAATTAACATGACTGTTGAAAATAACATGCACTAAACACTTGCTAAATAAATATCTGAGACTTAATTACCTGAGGATACTCAAGGTGTTAAATCCTGAAGCCAGACTGCTAAGATGCATATATACCTGTGTGTGTGTGTGTTTGCGCGCGCGCGCGCGCGTGCACGCATGCTGGCCCTAAGGGGAAGAACTTGGGCCTCTGGAATTGACTTAAGCACAGGGAGCTCTTTTCCACCAGAGCTACACAGGCAGACCTGAGAGCAGTCCACAGGAATGGTTTCGAGGGCAGTTCGGGGCCAGCTGAGGGCTGTGCCACAGACTCATGAGGGCCCGCAAAGCCCTGGCTCTTTAGAAGTTGGAGCAGATCCATAGGTGCCAGACTGGATTCACTTTCTAGTTTGTTGGGGGCTTAAGTGACTTGATTGCTGTAGGAAATAACTGTTCATGCTATTTTGTATTCAGCTGCCCTCGGCTGGGCTCAGAAGGAGCTGGAAGGGAAAAGGCCGTGGGCAGAGGCTGGAAGGGAGGGCCTGGTCCTTCCCTGTCCTGTGCCCAGTGCTGACTGTGCACTCCTGCCAGGAGTACACAGAAGAGTCCCTGAAACCAACATCAGGCTGCTTCCCAGCACCGCGCCCCCTACTGCCTCCCCAGCGGCAGGTCCTCGGGTTGCTTAGCTCCTCCCTGCATTCCTTCTCAGCTTCCAGCCAAGGGCGCAGCTTGCGCCATCCCTGGTCCCCGTGTGGACCCACCCCCTCAACACATGGCACCCAGAGCGTCCTCCTTACCCGACAGACAAGGCTGGGTCCACCCCAAAGCCCTTCTGATGACCCCACCTGACACCAAGCCCTCCTTATCTCTTATCCCAATTCCTGTATCTCTAGGAAACCACCTTACCTTATCCAGAGCTGGGAGAACTGGGGAATGTTTCTGCCTTGTTCTTGGCTGCTATTTTCCCTCTCCTAAATGGGGATTAAAGTATTATTATGTTAGAAAATGAGAAAGTGTGTAATGTGTTTAACACAATTCCTGGTACATAGTACTCAATGAATGATAATTCATTATTGTCATTAATATAGGGTGCCAGGGAGGGGATTTGCATCCACATTTTTACTCCACCACTGAATATGCACAGATGAACTCTTATCCTTATTTCCCTGATTGTTGAACAAGTAACACCTCTGCCACGGGGCGGTTGTGAAAATGAAAGGGACAATGCAGTTCTTTGTACCTGCTAGAGTGAGATACAAATGTTTCCTCTTGGAATCCCTGCATGCAAAGCAGGGGCAAACCCTAAATGTTTGCTGGTTTATCTAAACAAAGATGGCTACATGGATAGCCTGCACGGTGGGATCATACTAATGCTCAGGTATTAACAGAGGAAGAAAACCCCCAGGCAGATCTTGGGTATGTCCACATCTGCTGCTCTGGTGCCAGCCCTCCCTTTAGGACTCAGCAAAACTCTCAGTGAAGCCCCCTTCCTTGGCCACACCCCACCCCTTTTGTGGTCATTCGTGAGCTGGGACTGTGGGCCAGGACCCCTTGGACAGCAGCTCCACCTGCCAAGCCGTGGGCTTCCAGCTGTCACTCAGGCATTGCCACTTCTGACAAGGGCCTGAGTCACACAGGCTGCCCACTCATGGTGCTCAGTGGGTGGGTGTCTCCAGTTTCATCTAGAAGTCACTCTGCAAGCACTGCACTGCAACTGCACTGCTGATCCTGGACCCAGTCCTGGGCCGAGCTGAAGTCTCCTTTGTAAGAGGAAAAGCAAGAGAGGCCAAAGGAGTGACAGCTCATCCTGGGCCTGACTTTACACTTGGTGAGTGTTTTTCTTCCATAAATCAACCACAGACTCTCCTCGATCTAGCTCCCTCTCATAATGTAGGTGTGCTAGCACTGATCTGCAACAGGCTGCATCAA